CTAATAAATGGCGTCCAAAGACTTGTTGTTGTTTTTTCTTTATGATGACGTCTCAACCTCGTTGATTTTGCGAAGCTACACGAGAGCCCTCTTGCGATATTTGTATTGTATTGGGAATAACCAATTAGCAGATTTTTCTATTCTTACACTGGGAATGCCCAATTGAATTTAATTGGAAATTACCTATAGGTAGCTTTATCCATCATGGAAAATACCAGTAAAAACGAATTTCTGTTTTATATCGCGCCCAATTAAATCCAGTAAGTCAAATTCAGATCCATTGATACCAACCAATACTTCAATTGGTTTCTACAGGAATTAATCGGTTATTTACAACAAGGATACTATACCGTTCTGAATTCACGGTTACCGCTCGTCCCTAATCCTCGAAAATATAGGGGGACGAAGCCTTTCAAAACGTTATCTTTGGGCGCATTGCCGTGTTTTTTTGCGGTTTTTCACCAGACCATTATCGCAATTTTGTTTTTCTTTATACAAAAGAAGGTGGAAATGCGCGTCAGATAATGCGTAATTTAAACTTGCAAGAGGTCGTCGTACGTTGTGAGGGACGTCATTTAGCTAACGCGTCGATGAATTATTTTGAAAAATAAAAAGTTATTTTAGTTTAAAATCGAAAATTTACCACCGCGGTGCACCGTACTGTACTTTTAAATTAAGTTAGATTTTCTTTAATTAAATATAAAGTTATGACAATAAGATATATATATATAATATATATATATCTTATTGTCATAACTTTATATTTAATTAAAGAAAATTATTTTAATATTGTTTTAGACTTATTTTATAGCGTTTTTAACCAATAAATGCCCCACCCTTCAGAACACAAAAATAGATATATTGTACAATTATTTTTAGAAAATAAGACGAAATTAGCTTGGCACTGACAGAAAATTAACATTAATTATTTGTCTCACACGTGCACGTGCACACGTGTGCAAAATATTACATACATAATTCAAATGTTCAAAACCTTTATAAATATGCCATATATAATTAATCTTAATCTTATAATTATAATCATTTGTATCAAAGTCACGTGGTGAACTTTTGGGTGTTGACCATACAAACTTTACATTTTTTAACAGTATATAGGTACTTGAGCTTTGCCTTTCTTCGATTGCTGCTGAGCAGCGGCTGCTCTTAACTATGGTTTCGCGTAAAAATCGAACAAATTTTGGACATTTGTTTGCAAGTAATGCTAGAATTGAATATATTTTTTTAAACTTGTTCTATATCTAAATGGTGCATTTTTTTTAAACTCTACTTTGTTAAAAATAGATAAATTTCAATATTTTTTAATAACATTTTTATTTAAAAACGTATCGATTTGAAATTAATATAAAATGTAGACCTTATTAGTGGCAATGAACCCACGTATTTTAAGTATATTTTTTAGATTTTTACATACAGAAGGCGCTGGGGACAATTTAGTTTAAAATTTTACCATTTTTTAAGGGTTAAAAAGTCGCAGAAGCAACGTTGTTTTATAATTTTGAGTATATCACGTTAAAAGACAGTTAATTAACTAGTATTTGATATGTAAACTTCTACATGCAAATTATGTTTCTACGAGAGACACCATTTTTAAGTTAGGTCCTCAAAGTATAGGTATATTCTTTTATATAGTTTTATAAGATAATGTATTATATATTACATATAATACATATAATAATAATATAATGTACATATAAGTATTACATATAATATATAGAATATATATAATATAAATATTATATATAACATACAATTCTATAGGTACCCACATATTTATTTAAAAAAATCGTCATAGATAGAACTAAAATTACTTTTATTTATAAATTTTAATTTTTTTCAAATTTACTAATTTTGATCATAGACTTTTCTCTGGTAACCTACCATTGGAAGCATGAAAGATAATTTGACAATTCAGTTTATAAGTTTGCAAATGACTGATTGCGTCACATGCTCATTAACCCCCCTGCAAATATTATGTCACAACATACAATCACTTTGAAATGTGATGTCACACTTAAAGAAACCCCTGGGCCCCCCATGTCACAGTTAGTAACGTTTTGTCCAGAACCCCCCTCCCCCCCTAGTGCGTGACGTAATAATATTATGGTGGACGACTCCAAATAGCTTAGGCAAACTTCAAACAATAATAACGTTTTTATTATAAATGTACCTAAAACCCTGTATGTTTTAAAATAATCAAATAAAACATGAAAGAATCTTTCGATTGGTATTAATTATAATAACTGTTTCCTAAAGTTAAAATATTTTCAATACTATTTTGTATCAACAAACCTGTGTAATTCTACAAGTGGGTTAATGTGACAGTATCCATGGTTACCACCTGCCTGTCTGTCATTGTTTAAAATTAATTAAAATATTTGATTGAAAAATTAATAACTCGAAAAATATTAACTTTAGGTATAGGATATGGTAGGTATAGCCATTTTACTCAGAATTTTATGTAGAAAGAAAAAATGTTAAAATATATGAGGTGTCCTGATAAAAATATCAAAGTTAAAGACATTTCCGGTAAAACAGGAAGTATTATTTTGTTCAAAATAATTTAGGAAAAAAGTCTAAAGCGAATAATTTACTATTTAATAGTGAAGCACGCCACCTTGAAGCGAGTGGTTGCTTTGTTAAGGTCTCCCTTAACGCGCTCGAACTTCCATAGATCCATCACCGCTAAAGTTGTTCAAAAAACCAAAAAACAAAATTAATAACGATTCTACACGTGATATACCAATTCCAAGTGCAAAATCAGTGCAAATTGCGTGTGGATAACCTGGATAAAAGTTGAAAATGCCATATAGAACCCATATTGAATCCGATAAGGAAACGTATCTGGTTCTATATGGTTTTATAGGTCCTATATGGAAAGTCCTGGTTTACATTACGGATTCTATATGGTTGAATATGGATTTCCATTTTAAAAATTTTCATATTCAACCATATAGGGAAACCTATCTGGAAATACATATAGAACAGAAACCAGATAAATCCATATACAACCATATACATGTATTTATAAAGACATGTATATGGATGTATATGGATTTATCTGGTTTCTGTTCTATATGTATTTCCAGATAGGTTTCCCTATCTGGTTCTATAGTGTTTTAGAGTGTTTTTATCTGGTTCTATAATGTAATCTTCTATCTGGTTCTATAGTGAAATGCCTGTTTCAAATACCTATATTAAACCAGATAGAAACCATATAGAATCCAGATACGTGTTTTTTATATGGTTCTATATGGCATTTTCAATAGGGGAGTGAGACGATGAGTTTCAACGAATAATCTCCTGGACTACCACACGTGCTAAGGTTGGCGGTCGGGGTTAAGGAACAATTACACCACATCTACCTGGCAATTCACCAGAAGTACAAGTCTACATAAATAAGATAAGTAAAAATTACCAAAATTGCATGACCATATAATTCCCAAATAAAAATACTAATTTAATACAAAATCTTCAATCTTTAACTAACAAAGAATCCACCAGGTAAAATAATTAGTCGCAAACAATACAAATAAAGATCAACTAGTCAAAAACTATAAACACAGATGAAGAAATAAGGTAAAAAAGTTTCAATCGATTTCTTGAACCCTTGCAAATCGACCGTTCGATCCTTTCGCGAAACCGTAGTTAAGCGTGTCTTCGATATATATTTGGTTGAATGTAAGAATGAATTTTTACATTTTTAATGTTTAAATTGAAATTCCGCCATTTGGAATAATGTATTTCCTTATTTCAATAAAGACGTTTATTATTATTATTATTATTATTTCCCGGACAAATAGTCAACATCTTTGCATAAAAAGATATTATTAATTATTAATAATCAATGTTTAAGGGATCAATATGATCTTATTTTTTTTCTGAAGTTTGGAAGCGAATTTTTAAAATAATCTATGGAAAATTTGTCGGACATAATACTTCTGCACATGTGTTATTTTAGAAAGATTCTTTCAAAAATTCGTTTTTAAATTCGAGCAACCAGAGGATTATCTGGATGGCTTAGAACTTGATTATTACAATATATTTTTTATCTGATATTGGCAATCGGCAGTAAATTAGAACTTTACTGCCGATTTACGAGTATTGTATGCAACCCATTATAAATTTTAAGAAGTGTCCACTGCTCCTCAGCAGCAACTAAATAATATTTTAAAAAAGCACCGTCGCGGAGGTCGATTGGACCCTTTCATAAAATATTGTTTAATAAAAAATAATAAGTTAATTTTATTAATTAGATTAAAAAATCGCCGTGGAAGGCAAATATCCGTTGCAACAAACAGTATACCTAGACACTTCCTACATTCAAATGATATTTGATTTGATCATGATCATGATCATGATGATCATCAAATGACATTTAATTTAATCATCAATATTAATTATAATAATTATAATTAGTATTATTAAATGTGATTAAAGTCATTTTTTATCACTCACTTGGTTATTTGCCTCGGCTTTCGCCTCTGCAAATAATTTCCACATTCGTGATAAAAAATACGACTTTACTGCCTTGATATATAAATAACTATTATAAAAATCTTAATAAACAATTTTTAGCACTTTAAAATTGTCATTTTAAATTTCGGGCTGCCAACTTAATAAAAACAAAAATTAAATTTGACAATTGTTTCGCTACACAGTAGTTGGACTCAATACCTTCGGTCATCTATGCTCAATACTGTCGGACCTCCATACCGCATCCCTACTTACAATTATTTTACCCGATATTCTACACATTTTATATTTGGCATGTTTAGTCTTAATTAATTTTAAATATAAAAATATAAATTTTAGCGCCTTTGGCATTTTTAGGAAGTAAATAGAGAAAGTTCTGCTTATGAACAAATATGTTAAAAATTTAATTCTCTACATTTTTTGCCCCGGCACTTTTTGTCTAACCAATAAAAAAAATAACACGACTGATTTTTAAAAAAATTAAGTGTACCTTCAAAAAATATTACCTTTAATTTCAATTTTATATTTAAATTTATCTCCACATGGCTTGTCTGGTAAATAACTAACTTCAATATCTTCTAATGTGTCATCTGTTGTGGAAAGTTTTAATGGTTCATTTACATTTTGCTCCTAAAAAACAACTGTTACAGTAGAGCATAATAATTATTAATAAATTTAATCTTTGTTATTTTTTATTTTATTTTATACGCACCACTTTTAATGTTCTAGTTATAGCGCTGTCCGGAAAAATAAATCGCGGAGGTCGAAAATTATATTTGTTTACAGTTAAAGTCAAAATAAATGTATCGTTGTTTTGTAAACTTTGACCATGATCGGAAACCTATAAAAATTATTATTTTACTGTTATAAATTTTTTTTTGGAAAGTTACCTTTATTTCTATTGTATATTCGCCGTATTGATCTTCAAGTGACTGTGTTGCTATTAAATTTGCCTTATTATCCCCTATTTCATGAATACTAAATAAATCAACATTTTCTTGATCTTTTTTGGCACTTAATAATAAAAATGAAACAGTTCCGTTTTCACCTTTATCAGGATCTATTGCTTCTATTGTTGTAATTATACCCTGTAAATTAAATTATTTTTTAATTGAATAAAAAATTAAACGTCTGCTTTTTGCATAACTTACATCCTTTAATATATTTTCGTTAGCCTCATATTTTAATATTGGAATCTTTGGTATATTATTGTTTATATCCATCAAAGTAATAGTAAAAGATTTAATAGAGGTTGATTGTTGGTTATCAACATTACCTTCAAAAAATATTTTAAATATACAATTGTTACCAGATAATTAAAAGCCCAAAACATATTTTTACACAATTTGGGGTCCTCTAATATATATATATATATAATATATATATATATATATATATATATATTATATATATATATATATATATACTTCTCCAAGAAATTAATCAAAACCAATTGTCCGATTTAAACTTTTTTTTAATAATAGGTTGGTCCTTTCATAATGTTGCTATACTACTATGGAGTTAAACAGGTATAATATCAAGTTAGAATTGAAATAAAACTTTAGCCTTTACCCCATTATCTTTCATATTACACGACTAACATTTTATAGGGTAACATAATTTTATTGGTTTTAATGAGCATTTTACTCCCTAAATTCAGGCTATAAAAAAACACTAAATGTCAAATCATTATTTTCAGTATCAATCCTTTTATCGATCAATATGCATCTTATTCGCGAATAATTGTGCCCAAGCATTAATATTGTTTGAGGAAGGTTGGAGGTATCGAAAAATTGGTGAACGATTTAATGTAACTCACACAACCATTTCACGAGATATACAACGAAATAGAGAAACTGAAAGTAATGGTTGCAGGCCGGGACAATGAAGGAAATGAAAAACAACTCTGATTCAGGAACGGTTTTTAAGACAACGTTTGTAACAGCTTTGTAACAGCTCGGACCTTCAAACTTAGCTTCAAGATGCTAATGGTTTACAAGTTTGTACAGAAACTGTTCGTCAGCGATTAAGAGAGCATAATTTGAGACCTAGAATTGCTGCTTGAGGTCCACCTTTAACAAGAGTTCACCGAAGAGCAAGACTAAATTTTGCCAGGGAGCATTGTAACTGGTTAAGGGCTAAATGGCAAAAGGTATTATTTACTGATGAGTCCCGATTTTGCTTGTAGAATAATGACGGGCGTATGTATATCGACGCCCTAACGAAAGGTATGCTCAGTGTAATTTCTCGCATACAACATTATTTGGAGGAGGATCTCTGATTGTCTGGGGGGGTATTTCTTTGACTGGTCGCACGGAACTTGTCATCGTAAATGGTAGCCTTACAGCTGACAGGTATATACTGGAGGTGTTAGACCAACGTGTACTGCGCATATTCATATATAGGGCAAGGATTTTTGAGAGGTGAAAATACTAGTTACTGACACTTTATTTGTTAAATTTTGTATCGTTTTTTCTTGTTAATAATTTGCAATAAAATCATATGATAACATATCGTTGCCGGGCGTGCAATATCCAAAATTTTACAGAAGAGGCGAAAAACGTTTAACGACTGTAAAATGGCGGTTTTTTATGATGCATAAGTGCGCTAAATATGATAATTTTACATTGTAAAAAAATATGTTAATATCATAAACAAAATTTGGAGTATATTTTCAGATTGGAGATATGTTTTCCTGTAAAATGTTGTTACTCGTGTAATATGAAAGAAAATGGAGTAAATAAAAAAACAAAATGTAAAAAAAAAGATAAGGCTAAAGTTTCATTTCAATTCTAACTTGATATTGTAGCTATTTAACTCTACAGGGTGTTACAAATTTTATGAAAAAAACACGATATAATTGCTAAACCCGTTATTTGTAAAAAAGAGGTTTCTATCGGAAAACAGTTAGTATACCAACATTGTGAAAGGAACAACCTATTATTAAAAAAAAACCGTTTAAATCGGACAATATATATATATATATATATATATATATATATATATATATATATATATATATATATATATATAAGAGGGACAAATGATAGCAAACTGTGAATAAAATAATAAAAATTTCTTTGTTTTCAATTCTTAACAATCTAAACAATATATGACGATATATTGTTATATGATATATGTATCACAAACACATACTAATTTACAGCAGTGCAAAGGAGAATTAAAATAAAAATAATTTCTTAAAAAAGTACAAAAACATAATCAACCCGATTAAATTAAACTTAAAGTTTCGAATTTATTTGATACACAACCTATTGATGAGGACAATATCTTTTTGTTCTACAGCAACATGTTTATAGTGTACTCAAGTCTGATAAGAAGACATCAATGATCACTAAAGAATGGAGTTTGGCATGGCTATATTTATCACCGGAAATGGTCATAAAGAACTTTTGGGTATTCCAAGCAGCTAAGAAATGTTAAGTTGAATTGTTCATTAAAGGCATTGTATTTGATCCAACAGCAAGTATATACTAATATTACTGGTCTGCACATTCGAGCTTTCAACAATTTCTTGAACGTGAGCTTGTCTGAGTTGTTGCGGGCATTATGTCATGGAGTTTATACTTTCGGCTGCTTTTTCATATTCGTTGGGATCCACTGATTGTCCAGAAGCTGGACTATTTAAACGCTCTCGGAAAGCGTAACTAATTGGTACTTGCAAGTATTAATCAAACTGCTTATAGCGCAACTGTTTTAGAATCCTTTTTTCATCGTTTAAGAAAAGAATTACTGACTAGAAAACAACAACCACGAGACGATTATAAGGCATTTTTGAGCTAGCCTCTTCTGTTTCTTGGTGGATGAAATGTGCTCCTGGACCTATACATCATGTTTGGTTTCTTTCAAAGTACAGAGTACAGAGACAGAGTTTCTACAAAAACTAAATAAATATTGCTAAAAAAGCCTAAAGCATCCACGTCGCATTGATTTAACTAAAGAAAATGTTCTCACAATGGACTAAATATTAATATATTAAAAGAACCTGATTGTTCTTTACTGTCTTTAATAATAATGGGAAATCCAAAAGTAAAGAATTTCTGAAAGCACCACCTCAGAATTGGCGATAGATCTACACCCTGTATTTCTGAAACTGTTGAGTTATCGAAATAAGGTTATTAAGATTATTAATTTTATTTTAACGGTTTTTATTGATTAATAAAGGTTCCTGGACCACCCTGTATAGTATCATTTCTTAATTTATTTAATTTCCGGGGGGGTTAAACACCCTTAACATCCTCCCTGCCACTACTCAATAAAAGCAGCTTCAGGAAATGTTTGCTTTTTACATTCCTGCATTTGATGTTAATTTAATATTATTTCGCACATTCAGACGGGATTTGTTTTCTGGTTTTGTTTTTTTTTGTTTACCAATAAAAAACATCACTTTCCTTGAAAAAACATTCAGCAAGCTCCAGAGAGATACTCGCTACATTGCCCCCGTCTTAAAACATTTTCGTCCCGAAAATGGTCCTCAGCTCCATGGCGATATTTGCATAGAGATCCAAACTTGCATTGTGACGTCCTATAGAAGTAGCAGTCTACGGTCTTCTTCCCGGTTGTTCTTTTAGGACTGTGGCAACAGACAAGAATGTGTATGCCACTAAATTTGAAGATAACTTCCAATGTAATTCTAATTATTCTCCAGTCTAAACCGTCGAGTTCACAAGCAATCTTCGGCATCGCCAGATTCATGATGTCCTTGGACAAAAGGGTATCCCTTAATTTATTTAAGGCATTCCATACGTCACGGTAGTTTGGCTTCTAATGGGAGAGCTGCTTCGTTACCAGATATAAGATACTTCATTTGCCTATCTGCTCTTTATCCACAATTTCCTCTCCAAGTTTGGGATTCTGCCTTCGTAGCTCGTCCAAACTTATTTTTAAAGACAACTGCTATTTTCCTGAACATCCTAAGGTCTTCTGCAACACAGTGAGCCAAGGAGTAATCGGCCGAAACCGTGAACAGATCTTTTTGTTCTTCTCAAGTGACACTATACCGAGCTTTTTTACCGCTCGAATATAAATACATGAAGTTTTCAAAAGGCAGTTCGTCTTCCGGCGAATTAACTCTCCATACTCTAGCATCGTCTATTTGATCATTGTTTCCAGTGTAAGGAGCCAATCGGTTGAAATGGATCACTTTCGGCTTTCCTCTTGGTTGTTTCCCGACCCTGTAGATGATGTCATTTATTCGATCCATGATTCGTATGGTTCTTCGCAAGAAGTCTGCAGTTTCAGTGAATAACCACGACAGTGCTGTGGGTTGTATAACCAAACTAGGTCTCCAGGTTGAAATCCTCCATTCCTAGCCTTGATGTCGTATGCCTTTTTCATTCTATCACTGGCACTCTGGATGTTTAAACGAACTCGGATGTGAATGTCGCTCATGTTTCTACGTAAATTTCTGACGTAATCTTCTCTAGCAATATCTTCCCCTGGTAGGCAACCAATCCTCAGGTCACAAGGTAGACGAAGTACGTCTCATAACAATGCTGGCGGGCGTCTGGCCGGTTGTATCATGAATAGATGAACGGTACGCTAACAGGAACAGATGAAGGGGCGGTCCCAGTCTTTTTGATGATCAGAGACTACCTTCGACATGTTTATCGTTCGATTCATTCGTTCCACCATTCCACAGATTGCGGATGTAATGCGGTGGTCCTCGTCTTCCGAAGGTTAAGAATCTTACAGACATTCTGGAACAATATAGATTCAAAGTTCCTGCCTTGGCATCTCCATTGGCACACCAAAACGACAAATCCACTCCTTAATAAGGGCATCGGCCACTGTGGCAGCTTCCTGGTTTGGCAAGGCGTACGCTTCCACCCACTTGCTGAAGTAGTCCATTACAACGATTATGTATTTATTTCCAGATTCTGTTTCCGGAAATGGACCCGCCAGGTCGATTGCAATTCTCTCGAATGGGCTGCCCACATTGTACGCAAACGGCGTCTTCCAAGCGTCCTCGTCACCCCAAGATGTCCTCCAGTAGTTTCATCATGGATTTCCTGCAGCACTTCTGGTATCCTGTTTCTGGAGATTATTAACTGCTTCCGGTCTTCCCCCCCCTTCTGGAGTCTCCAGAACGCGCTTTAGAAGATGATGGAATTCTATTGGGCCCAGTAAGATTTTACATTCTGCGATTATTGGGCGACTTCCTGCCATGTTGGTTTGCGCTTCAAATCTGGGTCCCCTTCCTGGTCTTGTTGAACCTCATCGGATTGCCAATGATCATCCACAAGTGTAGTCCTGCGAATAAACACATCATTTTCTTCGGCCCTGAGACAATGTTTACAGTCTTCCGGGCACGGTCTTGTTGACAAGGCGTCAGCATTTCTATGGATGGTTCCAGCCTGATGTTCTGTTTCAAAGTCGAACCCCATCTTGATACCTGTCCTTCAGGATTCTTGAATTGCAAAAGCCATTTTAGAGCAGAATGATCCGTTCATAACAAGAATTTTCTTCCATACAGGTACTTAAAAGTGTTCGACTGATTTTACCACTGCCAACAACTCTCGTGGAGTAACGCAGTAATTACGTTCTAGTTTGGATATAGTTTTACTAAAGTATCTAAAAACTTTCTATTTTCCCTCTTGAATCTGCGAAAAAACAGCTCCCAGTCCCAAATTTCTGGCGTCCGTGTGCAAAATAAATTCACCATAGGGAAGAGGATAACTCAGGACTGGTGAGCTGGTCAACGCATATTTTAGGCTCTTTAAAAAGGCTTCTTGGCACTCGTCGTCCCATTGGAATCGTCTCTCTCCCTCTGTCAAACGTGTCAAAGGCTTAGCAACCTTTGCAAATCCTGGTACGAACCGACGGTAGTAGGTGCATAATCCAAGAAAGCTTCTTAAATCATGTTTATTCTTCGGTATTGGCCAACCCCACACCTGACACAAATTGTAACGTTTTTACTGTTCGCAGTGTGAATTAAAACATGCACTGGTTTATTAATGAACTAAACTATTTATTTTATAACTTAATTACACTTTAAACACTAAGAAACTATAAAACTAACTAAACACTTAACTACTAATTATTTATATACTACTACTGTACAAGAGTCTATTTATTTGCACTTATATTTAATTTATTTCGCGAGTACCAAAGCTCAACTAACTCTACGACGCTTCGCTGTTTCTTATATAGTCAATGCGTACGTGACTTAAGTCATGCAAGCACCTCCCCGAACATTCCAGCGAGCTCCACACCGTTCTCGATCGCTGACTCACACGCATCCTAGCGAGATCCAGTTGGGTACTCGCTACAGTATGATCAAATAGAATTTCCAAATAATTATAACTGACTGAAATTCAAACGCTACATTTACAACTCTTAAACTTTTATCTGATTCCTCTAAATCAATATTAATCTCATCCGATTTTTAAAAAAGAAATAGCAAAAAAATAAATTTGTACCCTGTGGCACTCCAGAGGTTTTTTAATTTTAAATATAAATCAACAAAACCTTTTAAGACCTATCTAGTTAAAAGTTTCGGATTTTTGGGCATTAAAATACAATAAAATACATTTTAATTGTTTATAAGAAAAAAAAGTTTTCATGTGAACTTGCTTAAAATCCTACCACATTTTTATTAAAAAAGTTTCAGTACAAATTTTTTAGAAAAATTGAAAATTAACCATATATGTATATATATATATACATATGTATATATATGTATATACATATCTGCCGTGCTTAATGAAAACGCCGTAACCAACAATTGTGCGATTTTTGTTTTACGGCATTTTCTACTAGAACAATTCATCCTGCGTCTATCCCCAGTACTCAAAAAACCGTATATATATAGATACGGTTTTTTGAGTACCTGGGATAGACGCAGGATGAATTTTTCTAGTAGAAAATGCCGTAAAACAAAAATCGCACAATTGTTGGTTACGGCGTTTTCATTAAGCACGGCAGATATGTATATATATGGCCTATAGACAATAAAAATTATGTTTCACATATTCTGGGGTTTTTAATCAAGCAAAAACTTTTGTCAAGAATGAAATTTTCTAGAGGAAAAGCAAAATGTTTTACCTTCTTGTCTCAAACTCCCCTAGCCAAGAAATCGGGCGACGCCCGGCGACAAAAATGTATCCATCACACACAGGTAATGCTGGTAAAGCAGGATACGTATGAAAACCGAAAGGGAGAAAATATCTCTGGGAGGACAGGGCTTTCCAAAAGTCCCGGGACGAAGCTATAATTTTGAAGGAGTGAAGAAAAAAATTGAAAATTTGGGGATCACTATAGGATCATACAAAATACATTCTTAGATATTTTAGAACTTCCATGCAACCTTTAAATGCAATTTTGAACCTTCAGGAGCATATCCCTAGTGATATCGGTGGTTTCTTTAAGTATGCGATTTTTCAAATCATTTATTGATTCTGGTTTTCGTTTATGGGGATGTTTTTTTTTCAATACCCTTAAAATAAGGTATATATATAGTCGATATATTTATTTCATGAAATATATTGTCGTAATATATATACCGGAATCCCGGTTAACAACAGACTAAACATCCGATATCAAAATTTGTACATACTTTTTAGTCATGCTTACCATATAACCCGAGAAAAAAGAACACACCTCGTACATCTACTAGTCTAATAAATGTTTGGCTTACCGTCTGGATTATCATAACATCTTATACTGCATGGGTGGTTTTCATTAATACTTTCTCTAGTATATTTATCTTGCATGGCTATTTTATTAACACCTTTGTTGTAATCAATTTTAAAATATTTTTTGCAGTCATCATGAGTTATTTCACATTTAACTGTTTTGTACGCCTCTTAAAATTAAAATAAAATTAGTCAATTATACTTTACATTATTACATATGGGTGATTCTAAAAATATCGAGGAATTGGTTGTTTTGATAAATATATGCCTAATTTGGTCCTAAAATATACAAGATAATATTTTCATTTAAACCTGCAAAAATAAATATAAACAATTAAAAGTATTTCCTTTTAAACTCAAATTGTCATATAAGCATACAAATAGCAAGAACCCCTGCCTCCAAGAATTCTCGTCATTGGCGTGTACATATTTTAAACTCAACCGCAAAAAAGGTTATAAGAGCGTACTTAGGATCCTGTCTTTATGCACAATACACACTTTGAATTGAGCAGGAACCGTATTTTAAGTTTTATTTTGTTTGTTTTTGCTGTGGACAAAATGTACCTCAAATTTACACAATATTTTTAGAATCACCCATATGCATATGTTACGTGGAATGATAAAGTCACCAAGAGCTGAAAAATTAGGTGTTAATTTTTTCATTCAACTTATGTACTTTACCATCTCGATCTTTATCCTCATAACTTATATCAAAGAATGTAGTATCTTTGGGTTCCTCTTCATTTACAGCTATTATATTATTTTCTTTTAGATTTAAAATTGTTGGTTCCTTATTGTTTTTATCGATAATATATATTTTTATCTAAAATTGATTTAGTAAATAAATATTTCAGAGAAAATATCCAACCATGGTTCCAAATTTTAAGTTCTTTTTTTTCTACTTACATTTTTATCGTCTTCTAATAAGCCATCGTTTGCTTTTATATTGTAATATAAATAATATAATTGATTTGTGTCAGCATCAATAACTGTATCAAGCACCGAAAGAGCCCCTGTATTTTGATCAACCCCAATCCAATCAAATTCAGTTGTTGAACTAAAACATTAATTTTATAATTTTATTAAAGTTAAATTTGTATTTATTAAATTTACCTTATACTATATACAATCTTTGAATCAACATCCTTATCGGAGGCTTGTATAACTCCTGCTGATGTTGATTTGCCATTACCTTCTGTTACTGTTCGATTAGTCGTTAAGGTATCATCAGTGAAAATTGGAGGATTATCATTAACATCTTCAACGCTTATAACAATTATGGCTAAAATAATTATAAATCTTCATTTTAAAATTTAAGATGTACATATATACGTATACGTATACGTATACGACTAAGGGCAAAAAAAATCATAAATAATATTTAATCATAATTTTAAATTCACCGTAAAAAATAAAACGCGAATTGATTTAGTTACGGATTTAGTGATTTTTGCTATTCATTGATAAATCAACCCTAAGCTAGGCTTACTGGATGTGATGTGAAATAAAAAAATTACCATTACAACCGAAAAATTTCGGGTCTTTACTGGATGTGATGTGAAATAAAAAAATTACCATTACAACCGAAAAATTTCGGGTCTTTATTGATTAAAGAAGATTTGCCGGATCATATAAAACTATGACAAAATTTATATTTTATTTCTATCGAATTAAAAACTCTGCGCTTCGACTACCTAACTATCTTTAGGCATCTTCGATCAAACAATGAAGTGGTCGGTAGGTTTCTTTTCTCTGACACTCAATTTAAACTTACTTTTATTCCTACATAAATTTCGGACGTTAAGGCGATTTTCTCATGCATTTGCATTTGAGACATTTTTAAGTTGACCAAGTGACTTTTATACAATTGCATGTGCATTTGTTTTTCATCAGTCCTACCCTTCAAATTTTGACTTTACCTAGGTAGGTATGCGAGATTATATAAACGTAGGTGTTGGTTTTTAATATTGTAATAAATAAATTCTGTTTTCTCAATATAAAAGTAAAAAAGTTAAGAAAAAGTTAAAAAAGAATATAAAATGTAGGTATTGGTTTTTAATATTGTAATAAATAAATCCTGTTTTTTTCAATATAAAAGTCAGAAAAAGTTGAAAAAGTCAAAAAGAATTAAAAAAAAGACAAAATATGTAAAAAAGACAAAAAAGTAAAAAAAATCCAACGGAAAATCAAAAAGAATTAAAAAAAGACAAACAAATAAGAAAAGTCGAAAAAGACGAAAAAGTAAAAAAATCAAAAAGAATATAAGGGCGTTTCTCTGTAAACTGGGCAACTTGAAGTAAGAAATTGTCTAGACAAGTTTTTTTATTATATTTTTGTTGTATTTAATAAATGTTATTCGAGGAATAAATATCGGTCTATTTATTAGTATATGGCAGATGAACCAAAAATATTCCTATTACTTTGGAAAACATTGAGCATTTTCTGAAAAATCTATACAGGGGACTGTTTATAAAATCCGGAGACAAAGTTTAGATGACTTTTTTTAGAATTAAAAAATAATAATTATAAAAAATAAATAAGTCACAGTAACAAGCAAACAATATTGGTTGAATAATTAAACAATTAGGTTGATTCCAATAGTTACTGTCTTTAATTAATTTAGTCTGAAGTGACCATTTTGCTTTGGTGACACGTCAGGGGACTGGTTTTTAAGGACTATAAAAACGACTTTGACACATTAAAGTTTATTTTATTGGATTTTGAACGTCGAGCATAGGTAGATTAGGTTATTATCTTTTGAAGTTATCTACGAAATATTTATGATCTATTATTTTTCTAAACAATATTAGCTTGAGACAATGAGTTGCCCAGTTTACAGAGAAACGCCCATAAAAGACAATAATTTAAAAAAAATCAAAACAAAAATCAAACAGTAAAAAAAAAAATTCAAAATTCGAAATACTTAAATAAATCGGAAAGTAAAAAGTCAAAAGAAGGCAAAAAGAATAAAAAAAGACAAAAAAGTAAAAAAAAAGTAAAAAAAAATCAAAAAGCAAAACAAAAATTCGGTATCGGTATCACCGCTACATATTGGTATAGCCGATACGCGATCGGTGTCGTTATCAACTAGGGTTGTCAATCCTGAGCCATTTTTCCAATCCCGGGACTTTCGGGACCAAATCCCGAAAAAATATAAATCTTTAATTTTAAAACCAATTGAAAATAAAGAAACAATCAAACTAACAAACAATATTTTTCGGACTTCACAACTAGTGGGGGGAATGTTTTTTCAGAATTCGTATGCACATTGTACGCACGTTTACCCCAATGGCCTTGGTAAGTTCCAATTGAGGCTGTAAAACTTCAGAAGATTTTTCCCTCGTATAATCTCCGCGATGGAAACCTCCTCGTCATCGCTATTTTCTATTCTATCTAAAAAGTTTTTCCCATTCCCATTTTGTCTTTTGAATCAGTCGTAGCCCCCTGAGAAACTTGAGTTGTGGAACCATAATTTGCATTTTAAATGTATCGGGTAGTTAAATAATAAAATTATTAACAATTAATGCCTTTAAATACCCAGATAGCACAAGAGGTACCCAGGACGTCCATTTCGGGTCCCACATTGGTCCGAACGTCCCAGACCTATATCGGAAGTTTTGGGTACGTCCAGTATCTTACTTATTTAGGAAAATTAAAGCGGATATACTCGGTACGTCCCAAGGACGTAATTTTTGTTTTTGGCATTTAAGGCTTTTCAGGTTATGTATCTGTCAAAGTATAGTCAACGAAAGAAATAATATTATGTTTAGGCGTTAAAAATGTATAAATCTATATAACATTACAATACCATGGTTGGTATAAGAATTTAGGAATAGAAATACTGCATTTAATGAAATTCTAAAGTGTACCTATGGTGCCAAATAAGTAATATTTTTGTGCATTTGTTCCGAATATCGGGTTTTCTCTATAAAATAATTTTAAATAAACAGCATTATTGAAAAAAAATCTAGCTTCTCTATTATGGAATAAGTATATCTGTATTAAAGGTAGATTATTATTTTATAACAAAAATATCATCTAATTTTGTAATTTTAAGGTTAGAAAAATTTATTTTTACCAAAATAAATAAGTATTTTGGATTATTTGAAAGACTGTATAATATGGTATTTAAAAATGTGGTAGTTTTTCTAATCCAGCTTAAAGTGTAGGTACCTACATAAAGTTTTGTCAATACAAATAGTTATAAGTTCGACTGAATTTTATCTACATCGAAAAATCATAACTTTAAAAATTTTAATAAATCACATGTCATGGGAGTATTACATATTTTCACATTGCAAGTTTCTCTAAAAATTGTTTGTTTTCTTATAATTTAGGGTATACCGAGAGGTATGAACAAGTTTTGTCATTAGAAGTATAATTTATACTGTATAAAAGCTTCAATTTAATTTGAACCATATTCTACAATTATATAGTATACCTATTTTTATTAATGACCATATTAACACACTCTTCCAAATAATCCACTTATTTATTTTGGTCAAAATAGATTTTTCTAACCTTAAAATACAAAATCAGATGATATTTTTTGTTCTAATACATTAACCTACCTTTGATACAGATATTCTTATTTCATAATAGAGATTAGATTTTTTTTAAATAAATGTGTTGTAGTTAAAACTATTTTATGGAGAAATGTAGACCCAATTGGGTCACACAACACCTAATATTGCTAATATATTGAAAAGCCGTTTAAACGCCAATATTGGTAATATAATATTTGACAAATATTACATTAATATTTATCAGATTGCTATAGCTTGTTGTTTTCTAAATATTGTATAAATGATTTATTAATCATTTGGAAATATTCAAATTTAGTATCCGATGAGTTACGAAATTTGACGAAAAAGAACGCGGGAAATCATCATTTCCTTCTTTATCTCTGCATCATTGAGCGTCCATTTTGCATATTGGTGAATTTTAAGACTTAGACCATTTAACGTGAATTACAGAACATAGGTGAATAATAAAAGGTGCAAAACGATTTTAAGTCTATAAAACTATATATAGTGGCAAAGTGGTATATCTTCACAAAAAGGTAAGTACCTACACATATTTTTTCTTTAAAAGAAAATAAGAGGGGAAAATAGAGTTAGCGTGCCTACTTGTTGCTGAATAATCGAATTAATATACAATTATCAGTAGTTATTTTTATACATTTTATTACTTAAATTGCTGTGCGTCTTTTATTTAGTCGTATTCTAAACTTATTCTAACCTAGGCAAGCTTGCAACTAAAATATTTTTTGTGGTTTTTTTCTTATAAATCCTCGAATGCATTCGAGGATTTATAAGAAAAAAACCATGCATGCTTTTTACACAAGGAAAAAAATAGATTTAACATACTGTAACATATTTTTCGAGGATAAATGAAGCGTGTAGATCCAAAACCTGCTATAAGCATTCACACTTGATTTTCCAGGAGATTCAAAAAACGATTGTAATTGACCATTGGTACCAGCCTCATGTTTACAAGTTTCTTGAAGAATTATTAGTAGGTGACATAGTTTTATTTTCAGTTTTTACTACAATAACAGCAGATAAAATGGCACTAAGCAGGTTTTGATCCTCACTTTCCATTTTAACGGGTTCCAAACCTTATAATAATTAATAGGCAGTCGAAGAATACCTTCAATAATAATTATTACAAATAAATTATTGACAGATCGTAAGATGAATCTACAGATTACTATTATGGCTTAAAACTTTGGCAGTGTCTTACTGTAACGAGCTGAGATTCAAGATTCTGGCAACATTTACAACTTTAAATTCATAGAAAAGCAATATAGCAGATTTTGGATCTATACAACTTAAATAACAATTTTCTTAAGGTAGTTGTTGTGTGATATACAGGGTGTTTTTTTAATCCATGTAGGTAGTACAGTTGTATTCATTAAAAAAGCGTACAAGAATTAGAATGAGAGAAAACTGTCAACATTATTGCGTAAAACCGGCTTTCCACTGACTTAAGTCACTATAACTGACAGTAGAAAATAAAAATGCCTCGTCAGTTAAAAAGGCTTAAATAGTAACAAGAATCGAAGAAGAATGGTCAATTCGTACTGTGGTATAATAGAAATAAAAAATCTATATTAAAAATTAAGCAACGCTGGGAACAGGAAGATTTACTAAACCAAAAAGTTGGTTCAGGTCGTCCCAAAATGTCCACCCCTGAACAGGATGCTTCTTTTTTGAGATATCTGAGGATTTATGGGAAACTATACAACAATACTATACCTACTATACTGCTGGGAAGATATTAATCCAATTATTGTATTAAATTTAATTCAGTTCATCCCAAATAGATTGGCTCAAGTAATAGAAAAACAGGGATGCATGACTAAATATTAAATTTTTTTTAATGTTTGTTTTTTTCATTATTAAAAGGTAATAATTTTTGTAATATTATTTTTTTTTTATATTATTAACCTACGACGTCAATGCTCTTTATAACCTATAATAATTATTTTAATGACTTATGTCAGTGATAAGCCAGTTTTAAGCAATAATATTATTTTGACAGTTTTCTCTCATTCTAATTCTTGTACGCTTTTTTATTGAATACAACTGTACATAATATATTATATATATAATATATTATATATATACAGGTTGTCCCATAACTTGTGACCCAAAGAAAAAAGAAGGGGATGTGCGGACAGCAATGTGATACACATTTTCGAAAATTTTAATTTTCCAAAGGATAAGCGAGATAAGAATAAAAACGATAGCCAATCACAATTAATGGTTAAGAAGAAATCAATAATGACCATTCGCAAATTTACATTATTTAACATTAACCTAGTTTTTTAGCCAAACATCAAATCGTTTTTTAAATATTATTAAAAATTTGGTAAAATTTAAACTTTGCTATATCTACCTATAACAAAAAAGTATGAATTTTACCACACTTTTAATTATAATTAAAAAACGAGTCGATAGATTTGTCTAAAAAACTAAGAAAATGTTAAATCTTGTAATATTTATGTTTTAAAAAGAAAAACAAAAATTTTTTGCTGTTCAATTTTTGTAATGGGGATCTTGATATGATATATCGAGGGGTAGATCGCTGAGGAAGTATGGTGTACAACATGTGGGAAGTACAGGAAGTCTTTAAAGGTAGTACGGGAAGTAAGGGAAATTTTGAAAGGTAGTACAGGAAGTACGGAAATATAAGGGGAAGTACGAGTAAATATAAAGGAAGTACGGGGAAGTACAGGGAAGTACGAAGGAAGTATAGGGAAGTACGAAGGAAGTATAAGAAATAAAATATAATTAAAACGAATATTTAAATATCCCGCGCATTTTCCTAACCTAACTGCGATTCCTCAGAACCGAGTTCATAACGCATCCAGCTGCCGGCAACACAGCAAAGTAATACAAATATTTGGAAATTTGTAAAAGTACCTAAGTTTTTTTATAATCATAATTGTCATATTTTTAACGCAAATTGAATTGGACAAAAATTCTCGATGTTAAACACTAGTGTATATCTCGTGTAACCTACCGTTCTGAAATCACCGGAAAGCGGACATAAATACAATTTGGGTCTTTCTGTGTAATAATTTTTTACGCTATCGGATTTCTAATAGTGTGAATTGGCCTAAATTGTATAGTTGTTACTACCAGTGTTATTGTTTTTAGGTTTTTAGTTTGTCGCACCTTTACTTATTCTGCTAAAGCACGCCTGTTAATGCTACTTTATTTAATTAATAACTAATTAAGGGCGAGTTGGATCGAAAAACGCCAAAGGAACTTTTGTTTTCTTTTTGGCTGTACTATACGCCCTTGAAATATCTTACACATTTTTTTAACATCTGATATACAGGGTGGTCCAGTTTATACCGTTAGGATATTACCAGCTGATAGTTTATCGAAAAATAAAGGTACCTACTTTGTCCTATAAACTATAGTCCAATTTTGCTTCCTTTTTGATGTACAGGGTGTTAAAGTTTCCTAAAGAAAATAGTTTTTTATTAATATCCAAAAAACGCTTTGACCGATTTTCATAAAATTTTCACAGTTTGTTGACAACTTTATGATGTGCCTTTCGGACAGGTTTCGTAACAGTTGACCCAGTAATTCTAGAGGCGTGCTCACAGGGCACTTCGACAAGTTTTCGGGATAAAAAAATATCACTCAGTAGATTTTATTAATTTTTCATTTTTTTTTTCATACTTTTTGAAATAATTAAATTTTTAACTTACTTACTTTAACAAAATTTTAATCTTTTAAACCACAAAAATATGTTTTTAAAATTCCATAATCTTTATCAGTTTTTTTTGGCCACTTTTTTGCCATTTCGGAACACTGCGTTTCCAGCAAATTCTAGGCTATTTTTTTTACTTTTTTACAGATGGCTGACGGATTTATCAATTTTTTTGAATCATTTGAATATAAATTAAATATTGTTATCCCGCAAACAGTCACAAACATACTTATTATAAATGGATATGACGATAAGCGAAATTGAAGATTTTGTTAGAAACGATTTACGCAACATTGTAGAAAAACATGATTTTGAAAAATACTACGTATTATTTGCAAACAAACCAAATTTATTTAAATTTGTTGTTGGGCATAGGCAAATTATTCTTAAACTAATTGAATTTGCCCAAGAGCAGATAACTAATGAATCCCACTTCGAATTAAAAGAAAAAAGAAAATCAATGCAAAAAACTCGCGGAAATCTGTTCCCTCGACTTCAACCTGCCCATCTGCTATAAAACGAACTCGGACTGAGTCTGTTTCTTTAACAGAAGAAAATGCTGCAATATGGAGTACCTTAAAAAGTTGGACAAAAAGTAAGACTACCGGTGCTTTACAGGATAATTTGTCCAAAGAATTTGACAATTTAATTGTTGCTGTCACCACAGATATACAGTGTGTATTAAATTCCAGTTAATGGCGAAAATGTATTTCTTAAAAACTATACACATTTCCCTACGACAGCGTCGGAGCTACTGAACAAAACGTAGATCAAACTGCATGCCCTTGTATTTGGCTGCATGCCGCGCTGTTGCCATATACTATTATTGTTTCCTAAAACGGTTGTTTTTCTTATTTTTTAATATTAAAAGTAAGAAAATTAACTAAATCAAATAATTTTTGACATATTATTAATTTTTTTGTTATTTTTAAAGTTTCAAACAAATAAAAATGAACTATTTATTAAATAATTATAATCGTTCTCTTCTGATTTAAAACAACCTGGCAACTATGCTGCCGTGCTTAATGAAAACGCCGTAACCAACAATTTTGCGATTTTTGGTTTACGGCATTTTCTACTAGAACAATTCATCCTGCGTCTATCCCCGGTACTCAAAAAACCGTATAGATATAGATACGGTTTTTTGAGTACCCGGGATCCCGATCGATAGACGCAGGATGAATTGTTCTAGTAGAAAATGCCGTAAACCAAAAATCGCAAAATTGTTGGTTACGGCGTTTTCATTAAGCACGGCAGTATGGTTCGTAATTACAAATGGCTTGGTTTAAACCACGCCCAATTAAAGTTTGTTTCTTTTTCTCTGATTAGAATATATTTTGTCATCCTTGTCTCCAGCCTTACTTACTTGATTCTATACAGTCTGTATATAATGAGTCGTTTTGTAAAACTACTTGTTTCTGTGGGGTCAAAGTAAAAATTACAAAATTATCCAAGGGTATTTCATCTAATAAGCCATGGATTGATTTCAAATTTCATAAGCATTTAAAAAAACATATAGAGCCTAGTCCTGAAAAAAAATAACGCACCAAAAAACTTGGAAAACAAATAAAAAATCTGCCTATTACATCATTTTTAACGGAACCTGTTCCCAAAAGAAGCAAAATAAACGTAATAAAAATTACTCATTAAGTTTTTTGTATTTGTTGCAAGCTATATCATAGCTAGATAATTTCAATCTCGATTTCAATTTATAAACAAGTATCTATTGAAGCAAGAACATCGGAGGAAATTTTGAAAAATTGCAGGAAGTAAGATCAGAAGGACCAAAAATTACAAGGAAGTACTAGGAAGTATGAGGAAGTAATGGGAAGTATAAGGAAGTACTGGGAAGTATGAGGAAGTATGGCGAATTACTGGGAAGTACGAAATTTTTTTGGGAAGTACGAAAAATTTCTGGGAAGTACGAGGAAGTATTGACGTTTAGAGGAAGTAGTGTACAAGATTTCTGGCAGCGGTTTACCCCTCGTGATATATATACATATTATGTACTGTTAAATTGTTCTATGTTTAGGACGATTTTAACCAAAACTTAACGGTAAATAATTTTATCTACTCCTACATTGACGAGCTGTAACTTTATGGCGTTTTATTGACGGGCTGAAGTTAACAACAGTGGCTTTTCGACATTTTACGTCACGGGCTGAAGTTAGCTTTATTATAAATTGGGAAAAAGTGAGGTTAAATTCGGGTGACAGTTGACAGATGTCAAAATTTTAACAAATAAAATTGGCTTTAAATTCTGTTTTGTGTTCGTCGTAGATAAAGTATAGTATGCAACTCGTTTATAAACTTCTCTAGACACTCGTTTTTATTAAACACTCGCTCGCAAGCTTCGCTCGTGCTTAATTAAACTCGTAACTAAAATGGCGTTTATAAAACTTGATACATAATATACTATAAATTTTTACTAGTCTTTTTTTTTACTTTTTATTGAAATGAAAGTGCATGCAATTTTTAATAAAATAGATAATTAGTGACCGTCCATTAATTACGTGAAGCGTTCAGGGGGGGAGGTGGTTAAGCCAAATATCACCTAATCTTACTAAGAAATAGTAAAAAATTGTAAGAAAATTGGGTTAAATTAAATTTTGTTTTTTTTTGGAATAAATTTAACGCACTTATAATAAAAACATATTTAAAAAATGGGAGATGGGAGGAGGGGGTTGAGCCAAAAATCGCGAAAAACGTCCCACGTAATTAATGGACGCTTCCTTATTAATATCATTAGATACCAAAAAAAGGAAGGTTTTCTAACGAGTAAAATTTTATTCATAGCTAAAGGTAAAATTATTTTATTTTCAACCATATTATGTAATATTGACGTTGTTTTTTTTTAAATCAAGAAAGTTTAACTTTACTGGTTTATAGACCTATAGGCAGGCAAAACTGACACTTTTTTCGCCTAGACCAGTAATCTAACAGCTGTCAAACTATTCTTTTGTAGCTAAAAACTTGATGATTCTGATTGAAAATAAATTTGTATACATTACCCCATAAACTATCTGATCTCTCGACTAGTAATGAAAGACTTTCCATCTCGCATAATATACTTTTATAATATAATACTATAATAATAATAATACCAATTGGTACTATTTGGAATGTTAAATCACTGTTTGTAATTTGTACTGTTCATCTGTGCTTTTTCAATTTGGTGCTGGGTTAACATGCTATTAACTTTAAAAGGGTGTTTTTGTATGAAACTATAATAACTTATTTATTTTGCTGTCTGCAGAATCATAAAATAAAAATGCCTAAGGAAGTTTCAAGTAGACACAGAAACCGTCTTCTGCAAAAGATGGTGAACACAACCATATCAGAAATAAATAAAGAAGCAATGCTTCGTGTAAATACTGCGACTACCTCGTCGCTATCCTCTGAGATATTTTCGAGAAACACCGTTTCAAATGAAGATCGTTCTGAGAGTGATTCCTTATCTTCTAATAATGAACAACCAGATTTGTTAGACATACCGAATAATTGGATTAGTTCAGATGACGATTATGATATGCATGATGGTATGTTTTTCTGCTCCTTTAATATTTTAATCTATTATATTGAACCATAGATTTCCTAGGAGAAGACAATGGTTCAACTAATATTTTAGATGACGTTATGCAGGAAACCGAGGAGACCGCTGGTTTGACACTTACTGAAAAATTATGTACTTGGGCTACAGAAGAAAATATTTGCCAGACTAAATTAAAAAAATTATTGGATATTCTTAAAGCAGAGACGGACTTAGAAGCCTTTAAGGATCTTCCCAAAGATCCTCGAACATTGCTACAAACGCCAAGGAAAAGTTTGGTGAAAACACTGGATAATGGAAATTTTCATTATTTTGGCATAACAAATTCCTTGAATAATTTTCTTCGACAATGTAATTATGTCGTTTCGAAGAAAGACAAAATTGAATTAATAGTAAACATTGACGGTTTGCCTTTAAATTTAAGTTCAACAAGTTCATTGTGGCCGATTTTGATAAGAGTGGATTCACTTGAAAAACTGAAAAATTATGTTGTTATGGTGGGTGCTTTCCATGGATATGCTAAACCCTCATCCTCAAATAATTATTTAAAAGAATTTATCAATGAGTGTTCTGAATTAACAACTAATGGCATTTTAATACAAAATAACAACCTCGAATTCCGTGTCAAAATGTTCGTATGTGATGTACCGGCAAAATCTTTTATTTTGAATGTAAAAGGACACACATCTGAAAATGGTTGCACAAAATGCCATGAAGCAAGTAAAAGAGTTAATTACGTAATGTGTTATGAAAATATTGAAAACCTTCAGCTACGAACAGATGCCGAGTTTAGATTAAATCTTGACCAAAATCATCACGTCGGAAGTACCTTGCTGATGGAGTTACCAAAATTTGATCTGATAAAAGACATCCCCTTAGACTACATGCATTTGGTATGTTTGGGTGTAGTAAAAAGGTTAATTTGCAACAAAACTTTTGGCTGGGTCTCGGGAAAACGCCCTTTTAAATTATCAGCAACACAGATACAACAAATCTCCCAGCATATAACTCTAATTCGGCAATTTATTCCAGTTGAATTTTCTCATAGAAAATGTCGAGGACTTGATAATTGTGCTCGCTTTAATGCCGCTGAATTCCGACTTTTGTTGCTCTATACAGGCCCTGTAGTTTTTAAAAACTTTCTTAAAGCTGATTTTTACTACAATTTCCTCTGTCTTCATGTTGCTATAAGGATTCTTTGCAATGTCGACCTTTCAAATGACCCAAAATTCGTAGAATATGCACGAGAACTGATTAAGTCTTTCGTGAAAAATTCCGGAAAAATTTACGGTCCTGATTTCGTCTCCTTTAATGTACATGGTCTCTTACATTTGGTTAACGATGTTGAAAGATTTGGTACACTCGATAATTTCTCAGCATTTCCCTTCGAAAACCACATGCAGAGCATTAAAAAAATGATAAGAAAAAGTGAAAAGCCTCTTCAGCAAATTATTAATCGTGTATCAGAGAGTGTTTCTACAAGAATATATCTTTCTAATGAAGAAAAGATTTCTTTTTTGCATCAACACACAGGCGGTCCCTTGTTGGACAGGTGCTGCTCACCTCAGTATAAATGCCTTAAAATTAAATCTTTAACGTTCAAAGTGAATGAAGCTGACTGTTTTGCAATTTTAGAAAACAATAGTATTATTAAAATCATAAATTTTGCTACATTGGATAATGAAGTTTGCGCTCTAGGACAAGCATTTAGAAGGACGTCGCCGTTCTTTAACAAACCATGTTCGTCAGAAGAGCTACAAATATTTTTAATTAATAATGACTTGAGCCCATTAAAAGTATATTGTTTATCAAAAATCAAAAATAAAATGATTGTCTTACCATACGTCGATGAGCAATTCGTAACTTTTCCCTTGTTACATGTTACCGCCTAAAATCAGTTTCTAATTTTACTAATTTTCTGCTGCAGCGTAAAAAAATATTTAAAATCTTAGACTGGTTACACAACAATGTGGAGTGTCGTGTATTTTGTCGATGATGAAACATTTGAGGTGGTTCCCAACTTTTGGGTTGCCAAGGAGGATGATCGCTGTTCCTTTCCACATTATCAGGCATACAAATTGTATGAGACGATAAGAAAACGCAAAAGCCCGGAAACTAACTGGAATATTTATAAAATCCAGCATCTTGCTACTTACAGTAAGTGATTAATATTAAAAAAATTCATTTAATTGCATTATTGTGTGTTTTAGGTGATTTTAATGTTGCTCAAGATCAATGCGACAATGCAAGAAATGGTAAAGAGTTAATGGCCGAAGAAATTGAGAAGGTTGAGGAAAAACCTAAGGGCAAAGGTTATCGGAAGCGGCTGTGTAATAAAAATTTAACAGATTTTACTGTGCTAAATAGTACAGAAGACGAAGAAGAAGATTTTAGTTTAAAATTACCTTCTTTAAACAGAAAGGGTTAGAATATGCTATGTTTGCATATTAATATTACCTTTTTTTTGCGCTGTTGTACAATATTTGTACAACAGCGCGAAAGAAAAGTAGTAATAATAATAAGAATAATTATTGTTCTGTTACTTTTTAGTTAATAAAGACGATGCAAAAACCATTGGTTCCAGTGCGGAAACCATTCTCTCGAAAATCGATTTTGGCCTAGGCTCGCAAACCATGGCTCCTGCCAGTACAAAAATCATTGCTGTGAGGGAACACCACAATAAACAGGAAGAATGTCCTATTGAAATTACTGGGATAGAGAATTTAAATTCCTTACAATACGAGCAGGATACCCTAGAGTTAATAAAAAAAAAAATTGATGAAATGGATGCCAAAAATGAAGGTAATATTAATAATTTGAAATTTGACATCGTTTTAGTGAATTGTTTTTATTATAGAATTTCAAAGAAGAGTATTTAGAATTCTGTTTACTATTGAAAAAAAATTAAATGATCTGGAGAAAACTGCAATCGCGAATCCTCAAAGAGCCGATGTATCAGCCAATGATGAACCAGATGATTTTAGAGAAATTTGTGAACTGTTTCCAATTGACTCTCCTGAAAAGTTGCAGGTCATTGAAGAGTCTCTTGAGGATGCAAATTTGCGAACGAAATTGGTAAGAAAAATAAATTATTTAAGAGCACTTAAAACTTGACATTTCAATTTAACATTCTAGGCCAAAAGATTCTCCATGGTTGGTGGTGAGGCACCGAAAGAAGTAACCAGATCAGTTCTGTACCTAATGGTTACCAACAAATTGGCCGCACAGTACAGTTTTGATGGAGGAAGAGGAAAACTAAAATTTAAAAATTTAAAACTGTTCCAGTTACTGTTAGGTAATTTTAAAAGTTACAATAAAACTTTATCTAAAGTACAGTAAATTTTCAGATTCTGTAAGAGCAAATACCAAAACGAAGGAGGCAACAACTGCTGATATATTAAAGGAGCTAAGGCAATGGTTAGCTCAAGCTCCGTTCAGGAAAAATGAAAAATAATTTTATAGAAAATTAGAATGAATCGGAAGCATTGTTCCAAAAAATTGTTTTTTTTTGTTAAACATGTAATTTATTTTTGTTACCTACATTTATATTTTTATATAAATAAATTATTTTTAGAAAATTTTAATTTTTATGTTAATTAATTCCAATATTTAATAAACATTAGTAATATCTTTTACTATTTAATAAATATTTTGGTAATATTACTAAAATATTCATAAATATTTGCAAACCAATTTCCTCAATGTTGTATTAATATTATATCATAACATTTCTACAATAGAGGTTTTGGGACATCTGAATGTTGTAGGAATGTTGAAATAACATTAGGCATTGGGTAAACAATGTTTATCCAATAATCATATAAATGAACATTAATATACTGGCAATATTTTTAAAATATTTTTGTGTTGTGTGGGAATGCACAAAAATATCACTTATTTGGCACCATACACTTTAAAATTTCATTAAATGCAGTATTTAATAAATACTATTTATATTTCTATATTCTTAAACCAACTATTAATAACAATTATTGTTATTGTGATACTATAAAGATATATTAACTTTTAACGCTTAAACATAAGCGGTAGCACTATAAATATTATTTCTTTCATTGACTATACTTTGACAGATACATAACCTGAAAAGCCTTAAATGCCAAATTTTCAAAAGACTGCGTTCCGTACCTAACTATATGTAGGCAACCCATGCATACCTCTCGCCTCTGTAGCACGATAGATAGTCCTATAAAGGTGGAATGCCTTAAGCTTCTAAGTAAGAATTTCTTACCTTCTGGCCAAATTACTGACCATACTGCTTCTGCTTGTAAGTTTTGAAGGGACACAGCTGGTTCTGTGGCTGGTCCTGTGGCCCACTCTGCGAAAAGTAAGCAGTGGGCCCTTATGTTCTGTGATGTTCTGTGAGTGGGCCCACTACTTACTTTTAGCAAAAGCTTTTAAACAAATTTAACATTTAATGTTAAACAGCATTATTTTTGAGAAGCAAGACATGTCAATTTTGTACCTTAAAGACGTCTAAAATGGACGTAAAATGTCACGTGTTTATAACGCTTTTCTGTTTGCTGGGAGTCCCCAATAAAGTATTTCAGGACGGCTAGAGGATGTCTTACTTAGGACGTTCTGGGGACCGACGATTTGGTAACATCAGATGTCCCTGGTACGTCCTGCGGAAGGTTCAGGACCTGATTCGGACGTACTCGGGACTTACTAATGTCTGATACAAGATATACTCGTTTCCAGTACTTCTTTGTGCTATCTGGGTAGTACTCCGCCGTGTTGTATAGACTATTTTTTTAAAGCTTTAAATAATTCTGTACTTACATGGACATTATCGAGTTTGCGACATTTTGTCAGGTTTGACGTTTGACATGTTATATTATAGGTTATGTAGGTACATAAATTTATTCTACAGCTGTAATTTAAAATTTTGTTTGCTAATTTCATGCGAAACGCAAAAGATACCACTCTTTATATGTAATTTCAATGTATTTTCATTATTGTACGGCGGCAGAGCTGTTCGGTACTCGAGTACAAGTACTCAAACACTGTACTCCAAGTACTTTCAGTGTACTTGGTACTCAGTCCCTAGTACTTTAATTTGAATGCACGTTTGTGCAAATATGTGCGAGGGTGTTGAAAATTTGGCAACACTGGTCAGACATGCTGCTTGAGGCAGCCTGCCTCACACGACAGGCTTAAGACAGCCTCAATTAATAAATAAAAAGACACATGAAAGAGCATTGAACGAAAGGTTTTTACTTATGTATATAATGTAATTTTGTTTAAAACCATAATTAAAAAATAAAGCTAAGCCAAAGCAAAAGTAGATATATATATATATATAATACTGGCCTTGATAATTAACATAAAGCGAAATATCAATATTTGATGAAGGCAATAGGCCGGCTAGTACTTAGTTTTGCACTGATTCTAAATTCATTTCTTAATCGCCCTATCTCTAGCATTTCTCCCAACATTTCATAACTAAAGTGTACTCGGTACTTAGTAGAGGAGCGAGGGGCTTGTTGTAACAGGGATAAGTAGTAACACGGTTTTTTCATAAAGAATTTTAACGTTATACATTTACTTATTTAACTTAATATGATCTTTATATCGCGCCACGTAACGTGGCCCACGTTATGCCGTGATAGCCAGTGTTCCGCCAGGTGGCGTAGGTAGTGGACGTGTGCACACGCTTTATTTTGGCTAGGTAACGTAAAAATTTACTTTTGTAAAATGTTGGTTATCGTTATTGTTTTGAATTTATCTGAAACTTTTTGGGTTCTATTTTTTTTAATTAACGTATATTTGATGTGTTATAATTTTTTTTACGATTTATAAATTAATATTATAGTTATCTTAAAAAATGTAAAAAAATGTAATAAGGGGTTAGTTGTAACAAAATCTTGGGGCTTGTTGTAACATGTTACAACTTGCCCCTTAACTTTAAAATACCTTACTCCTACTTGTATTTTACTAAGAAGAAAATACTAAGAGCAGACGTTAAAGAAAATCATGACAGATACACCCGAAAATGAAGCTTTAAGAATGTAACATGAAGAAAACATAAAAAAGGAACAGAAAAAAATATACAAAGATGGAAAAAAAGAAAGAAACAAAGGGAAAGGCAAGGGTAAATCAACAAAAAACAAAGTTGAACTAATAAAAATTAAAAAAAGGATTTTGACTAATTCAGAATCTGAGCCTAAGGAGTGGTTTTGTCTATTTTGTAGTGAAGCTTATAGTGATTCAAACAAAGGCCCATTCGCCTTTGTTTGAATCACTATAAGCTTCACTTGGGTAGAATGTATTACATGCAAGATGTTGGCACATGTAAAATGTGTGTCAGGAAATACTGTTTTATTTATTTGTATACAATATATCAACTGTGATTGATGTGATTATTTATTTATTTATTAAGGAACATACTTGCTTAAAGGCTGATAATTCTATTAATTTTTTAGAAGTATTTTTGAGTTTTTTATTTAAAATAAAATAAAATTAATGTCTTATTTGCTGTGATTTGAAGTTTCACGTTAATTATTAACTAAGAAAATATTTTAAAAGTTACATTTTTTAGGTTCGATATTTTTAAAAAGAATATTTTAGTTTATTTATTGATAAAAAATTAAAATTATATAAAAAGTTTCATAATATTGTTAAAAACTAAAAAAAATAAAGTTGAAATGGGTTGCAATTTCTATTTTTTTTATTGTTACCACCTGCCCCAAGAGATGTTACAACTAACCCCAAACACGGGGTTAGTTGTACCATTGTACTTTTTTTGGTAAAATGTTAGCTGTACAATTAATATCAATATTTTTAGTCCTTTTTTTATTGGGTTTTATACAGGACAAGTTAAAGTATCGTTAAAATTTAATTAGTGGTAATCCAGCAGAACCATGTTAAGATATCTTCGTTTGTCTGAAAATTGTTACAACAAGCCCCTTGCTCCCCTACTCGAGTACTTTTATGTAAGAGTATTTATATTCAGTACTCATTGTACTCTGAACAGCGGCGGTGTATAATATTTTGAATTTTGAACTGCGTACCAAAATTAAGTCTTTCTATATAGACTTATGAGTGTTATAATATGAAATATGGAAATTGTCATACGCTTGAAAAAAAAGTATATTTTATTTTTTGTAATCTATTACGAAGATCCGGGGATTGTGACTTTTATCTCGAGATATTCGGTTATCAGTTTTTTACGGGATCCCGGGATTTCGGGAGCCCGGGATGACATACCTAGTATCAACGATACGCGGACCGATACGCATATGTATCCATAATTTTAAAGTTTTCTATATCAATATTTAGGTTCTTTCAATAGACAACCTGTAAATTTTTGTTTTCGAAATAAGTTGATTTTAATACGAAAACTTTTCGTATTTAAGTCAAAATATTTGATTTTCAAAAACAAAACACTTAAAACACCTTAAAGTTGCTAATTTTACTCGTTTTATTACTCATTTTATACACTAAAATCCTTTAGAGACTTATATTTTAACACATTTTTTTACAAAAACAAAAATCTTGACATTTAACAGTAATTATTTTAAGTATGCCATCTCCATGACACGTGACTGGATGAAGGGCGGTGATTATAAAAATAATCAGATTTTTTAACATTAGTTTGTAGTTTGTTCATTTTATTTTTTTAAATTTAAACATATTTCTTTGTATAAAACCAGGAGTTGTAAATATTTTAACAATTGTTCTTTCAAGAAAAACATTTTACCTACCGAAAGTTTCGTAAATAATATGAAATTTTAAAAGCGTTTTGTTAATTTTATAGGTTACAAATTATTTTGTTATTGAACAAATTATTTAGTTGAAAGAGTACACGTGATTTCAGGCAGCCAATCAAAACATTTCACATTGACTTTTTTATCGTCAACCACCCAGCTTTAGCACAACAACAATACGCATCAACAAGGTCATTTGACTGACTTCAGCGTCTTCAACTGGAGTGTTTATAATATACAGCCTGTTCAGAATAAAACCGAATATATCTATATATATATGGGGCGTGGCCTCGCCTCCCTCCAAGGCGCGTCACAGTTGCTTGTGTGATAAACGACATGACGAAAGGTCGAGCAGGTAAGGACTTAAAAAATTAAATGATAATAATGCAAAAAATCTCATTAGCGATGCAGTCTATTTGCTTAGCTACTGTGTCGCGCGTTGGAGGGAGGCGAGGCCACGCCCCATATATATATAGATATATTCGGTTTTAGTCTAAACGAGCTGTATTACCAGAAATCTGTTATTCGGATACCTTATACCTATTAACGAGTGGGAGGTATCCGAAAAAAAATATGTTCTATATTGTTCACAATGTGGTGGGAAGAGATATGTTTTTACCATTCTCAAATACAAATAATAATAGAAGACCGCGTTGAAAAACGATAGATGGCACCATTGTGCAGGCAAATTCTCTTCTCGCCGCTTTTGAACTATTCCTTTCCAATATAAGGAAAGGAACTAAAGTTTTCGTTTGGGTCTCGAGCCTATAGCAACTCGGCACTGATGAGTTCCACAAGAACGAAACGCGTCTGTCGATGCTGGCATGAGATCCGAACGAAATTAAACAAAAGCGGTGATAAGAGAAATGCTTTCAGAATATTTAATTAACAAATAATAACGTTTTCTGAAATAGGTACATTTGACTATTCTTAAATACATTTAACGCTTTCTGAACTATTTTTAAATACATGTTGAAAAAGGTGTAGGCTCGGGTGGAGGCATAGTACCTTTTTCCGAATTTTTAAGATTCGCATACCTAGTAAAAGTGTTGCTAAGTAGATTTTCTCTCAATAAAGTATGCTCTTGTCCATTAAAAATAAGAAAAAAACTATTATTGAATGAATTTAATGTACACAAATAAATACCTTATTAAATTAAAATCTAGGGGTAGATTTCAAGTAAAGTTTGAATTCGAAGAATCGCCAAAAGAGATCAAATTTTAAGAAAAATAAATCTAACATTTAAAGAGAAATTTAGTTTTTTCAGAAATCGCCCAAATTGTCGTTTGCGATTTTTATTTAAAAAAATAGACGTAAATTATTTCTTTAAATCGCCATATTAGCGATAAAGCGCCAAATCTGGCATCCGTTATGACAATAGATAATAAAGGTCTCGGCTCGATGAGCGTTGCAGCGATTCGTCTCGTCACATCACATAGAAAGTTGCATAAAATGATTTTGACCTACCGTGTGTAAAGAATTTTCACTTCAAAAAGTTGTTACAAACCAATTTGTAATGGACTGAGTAAACTCCGTACTTTAAATTGTAACGATGGAAACGGCGCTTTATATGTGAAACACCCTGTGTTTTACATTTGTGGTCCATTAAAAGTTTCTGGGGAACGGAAAAGATATCGGTTTGAAATTTTAAAATCCTTATAAGTCTATTTTTCTAAAGTAACTTTGTTATTTTATATAGTACACCCCAAATATTTTAAAAATTTTAAATTCTACATACAATTCTGAGTAAATTACTATACCTATACATTTATGTTTTTACATATTATTAAATCAAATAGTAAATTAAAAAACTTTTTGATTAATGTAACTTTTCCCTTAACCTCACGGTGTCCCCCAGTATAATATAGGGCAAAAACTCTTTAGATTTCAGCAGCAGGCGCCTTGGCAATAATAATTTAAATTAAAATAAAATGTTCGCTGATTCTTCTCTTATTTTTTTATCATGTGTAAAATTTTACTATTTTTAGATATTGATATAAATGCTTCTACTTTCTTTATGTCCTCAAATACTAATGGGTGGTATTTTGATTTGGATTATATGGAAAATCAAGTTTCCATGACTGCAAAGTAACAACAAATGTCAATTTGAGTGTTTAAATTGGAATCCAAAATTTAAGTGCGACCACGAAGATAATGGAAAAAGTGTGTGCTTGTTGTGGTAAGAAGATAGTTTTTGGAAAAAAGAGCGCTTTAGCTTTTCGTATCACCCCAAAACTTCAAAATCTTTTATGCGAGTTTACATGATTCAAGATTTCCGGTCTCAATTTGTAATTCCTGCCGACTTGCACTTGCAAACATAATGAGTTTAAAAGAAATTTGCCAATTATGCCAGATTTTGAAACCATAATAATTGTCAAAGAAACACGTGCTACAAATGGCACGCAATGCAGTTGTGAAATATGTTTGACGGGAAGACATAAATGACACAAAAAAAAAGATCAAAAACGAAATTTAACCCTTTGTCTCCCAACACTTAATTTTGTGACGACCCTGCTTTTCGCCCAACGGTACTTTTAAGTCATTCATTTTTATTCGCCCATTACTCTAGTGTTTCAATATATGGATCAGAACTACCACCGCGGTGGTAGTGCACCGGTACACGAGAGTACCACTTGCAAAAGTATAACTATATCTATCAAAATCTAAACTTTTATACAATAATTCTGGTGATAACTTAATCATAAACAATAAACAATTCCAATAAAAAAATAATCTAACCCGTAGGATTCTTAGTGTGGTATTTGAAGGTACGCCAATTTTAAGGTACTTAAAAGTACCTTTAGTAGACAAAGGGTTAATTGGCAATAAATTTTCAAAAGTGGCTACTTTAAAAATTTGCCAGCGCTGTCTTCATATGGTTGGGAAGGGTAAAGAACATCGATGTACATTAGTGGACGGTTGTAAAAATGCCATACAGATGGTACAAAAACTACCAAAAAATCAACAAGAACAAGTTGCTGTCTCTATTATTAAAAGTAAAATAAATGCAGAGGAAAACGGAAGTTTGAAAGCCTATCAAAACTCTACCACAAGTTTGTCTACAGGAGGTTCAATTGCAAGAGTTTTACTTAACCCAAAACCGAAAAAGGAAGTTTTTTTTTTTTCAGAAGAAAAGTTGAACAATTTTCAAATTAATTCATCCAATTCCTCAAGGCAAATGGAAAAATTTACTAATTTTATTAGATGCTGTGCAGGTAAAAATTCGATACCCAAAAACTACCGGGAACATTTAAAGGAAAAGTCCAAAATTCTGGGAGACATCTACAAAGTAGGCACCTATTTGTTTGACACAACTGGTGACGAGCATACTTCGGAAAATAAACCTGTTATTTATGCTGACGCAGAAGAACTCATTGGGAAAGTGAACGAAGAAAGACAATCAGTGGGAAACATTAACATAAAGGTTTTAGCAGATGGAGGACAAATTTTTTTTAAAATCTGCCTGTCAATGTTTCCACGTGATGATTGTGACCTAGAAGAGGATGACGGTAAAGAAAATGAATGTAAAAGAAAAAGATCAACATATTTTGAAGGGGGTAGTGTGGCCAACAAGGGTAAATTGACTGGTGTACAAAGACTTGTTATTTTGTGTATTGTACCAAAAATTAAGGAAACATACAAAAATATTGAACTTTTGTTTCGCCTAACAACATTTCATTCAAATTTGTATCTGATCTTAAAATTGTGCTCTCGTAAACGGTTTACAAACTGCAACTTCTTCATTTCCATGCCCTTATTGTTTTATCTCATTGAAAAGTTTAAGAAGCTGTGGTGAAAAGGTTAATAATGCTGATGAAAATGCTTTGAGAACTTATGGAGATATCATGACAAGCTATGAAAAGTTTTGTTCTATACATGAAAAAAAAAATGCAAAAGACTGTGGCAGCACAATTAATAGGCCTCTGTTTGCAGAAAGCGACGACGTGTTTATTCTTGAAAAGTGCATAATACCTGAGCTGCACCTTTTACAAGGATTCGTAAACCATCTTTTTTGGGATGGTTTAGTGCCACTTCTTGGTCGGGAAGAAGCTTTAAAATGGCCCAATAAGCTTAATATGGTCGCTAAAAATTATCAAGGCGAGATATTTGAAGGTAATGCGTGCCGAAAGCTGTTAAAGAATGCTAACGAACTTCTCAAAAAGGATGTTTTAAACAATGTCAGTCCTTTTAGAGTGCTTCCGTTTGTTTCAGCACTTAAGGCGATGAATAAACTGGTCGAAAGTTGTTTTGGTACTAAAAAAAAATGTTAATATACAAGAACTTGAAAGTAATGTTAATCATATAAAATCTGTGTATGAAGCTACAGGACTTTCAAAAACTTTAAAAACTCACATAATTTTCTGTCACTTGATTGATAGTGTTAGTTTTTTAAATTCTGGTTTAGGTTTATGGTCTGAACAAGCAGGTGAATCAGTTCATAGGGAGTTTTTAAAAGTTTGGGATAAATATAATTTAAATTCCATTAATGATGTTCGATACGCAATTTCTCTTTTAAAAGCGGTTACAGAGTTTTCGTCAAAGCGTTTATAAATTATAATTTAATCGCATAAGGTAAAACCTAGGTATTTAATAATAAACATTTGTTTACTTTTATATTAATTTTTGTGTATTTTAAAATTGTAAAAATTTAATAAAGTCTAATCACATTACGTTTGTTTGCCTTATAGGGCAATAAATAGTACATCTTTAAAAAAAAAATTTAAAAATTGGTTGTGAAGAATCAGGTAAGATTAAAATCTTACCTGATTCTTCACAACCAATTTTTTTCGCTCTTTTATCTAAATATAAAATTATATTTTTGCGTCATTCTTGTTTGACCTGCACCATACTGGGGGACACTGTGAAAGTTAATAATTTAAGAGATATTTAAAAATTTCTAAAATTTTAGATATTATCTTAATACAAAATATTTAAAATTTTAGAAATTGTTAAATATCTCTTAAATTATTAACTTTAGGTATAGGAAATAGTTAGATCAAGCGAAAGGTAAAAATCCTATTAGATTATGTAAAAACATACCGGGTGCTACGTTTAAAATAAAAAAGTTATTAACGTTTCAAGTTAGGCTAATTTGCTATGGGTTTTCCCAGATAATTTATTGAATTTTTTTTTGAAGATTCCAAAAATTCCACCGCTATATCCGTTGTAACGTAACACGGGTGCCAAGGTGCCACGACCCTCAGGGATGGTTCGTAAAGACAAAAAACACACAGCTACGTGGAGTACAAGGGTTTATTAATCTTGTTATACAAGCTTAGAGGCCCAGCAATCAGCCAGGTGAGATTCTTGACAAACTAACAAAAATCTGGAATTGGAACGCCAATTAAAGAATACCCGTTAAATTAAAAAATAATGTCACTCTTACCTGGACACCAGATCGCGGTTCTTGTGTTATAAACAAAGAACGTTTAAAATCCAGAGGATGACACAGATTTTCATAGATTCGCGCAAACCTTTTGCGTAAACACCTAATTAAGATGGACGCCAATTATACCAAAAAAATATCGACAGGGTGTCTCTTAACAATAATTTAGTAAGTTATTGTTAGGCAACCCCTTATACCCCCACTTACCTAAATTAAAGGACGAAATACCGTTACACCGTATACCTAATGACAAAAAAGTTAAAAGCTATTTTGATTAACGCGCAATTGTCAAAATTAACCAAAAAAATTAATAACTCAAAAACTATTCACTTTATAGGTATAGGACATGGTAGAGTAATTTACTCAGAAATTTATGTAGAATTTAAAATTTTTAAAATACATGGGGTTCTGTTTGAAATAACAAAGTTAAACCGAGAGTGGCATTTTGTTTAAAATAGTTTAGAAAAATAGACTTGAATGGAAATGCTTTTAAAATTTCAAATCGATATCTTTTTCTGTTTCTCAGAAACTTCTAATGGGTGATGAAACACCCTGTATAAAAAATTGCTATTGCCTCTTTTAATTGAAGAACAATCATTTATGATTTTTTATCGTTTATTTCATACTAGTGGTTTTGTAACTTATAAGTTTATTAAACGTTTTAATTTCGACTTAAATTTGAAAATTTACAGCTGTGCACAGGGAACTGAGAATTTTGACTGTTTGGAGATATTTTTGTCTTGTCTTGTCTTTTTATCATGTAAAAATGTATTATCAAATTTTGTTCACCTAAGTTGGAGGTCTTTAGTTATTTTTGATGTTAAAAGTAACACAATACAAATTGCAAAATACAAAAAAAAGAGATTTCAGATATGAGGATATACGGCCATTCCAAGCCCATGGACAGGACACATCAGAAACATGTCTAAATATATTCTTGTTACTTCCTTAAGTTTACAATTTTTTTCTACGAGTATTTATGAGAAGTATTACCCAAATTTGGCTAATACTTCTCATAAATACTGGTAGAAAAAATAAGTAAACTTAAGGAAGTAATAAGAATATATTTAGACATGTTTCTGATGTGTCCTGTCCATGGGCTTGGAATGGCCGTATAGAGATATAAGGAGAATTTGCCTTTAAAGGATGCAAAGTCTCCATAAAAATATTTTAAAAAATACATACTACTAGCTTCTTTTGCATCTAAAAATTTCTCATCAACATTTTCATCTGTGACCACAATAAATAAATTAATAGTATCAAAAGTTTCGTAGTCTGGGCCATCCTGATTCATAACAAGGCTCATGGATAACGTTGGTGTATGTTCATCTGTAATTTTAAGGTTCACACATCTAAAAGATGATAGTTTTATTAATACTATTATATTTAAGTTTATACATATTACTCACTTCATTTCTTTTGTTATTGGTTTGTCTTGAAAATGCCATTTAACCGAAGATTTTTCCCAATCTATATGGGCTGTCAACTTGGATTCCTTAAATGTCTTAATTGCTGTTATACTTGCATCCAGCTTATAACCTGTTTTTTGATTTTCTTCAATGTTAATAACCCCATTCTAAAATAAACACCATTTTATTGAAAAAATTAGAAATATCAGTAATATTCCTACCGCAGTAATCACAGGTTTTTTGTTATTTTCATCAATAATCTTAATTGTAACTTGCGCTGGTGGAGAAGATACATGTGATGCCTTGTCAATAGCGGAAACTTGGAATATTACGCTTTCCAAAATATCAAAATCAAATGCGTTGTCCTCGTTTACATATATCTTGCCATCACTATTTATTGACAATTTATTGTTGCCAATAATATTATATCTATAATTTAGAAGTATAAATTTATTAAATATAACTGCAACAATTTTAAGACGAATGGTTTCAAATAAAGATCTGATATGATGCCATGAAGACCACACTTCTAAAATCAATTTCCGCGTTAATACAAGGATTTGGTATATACGGTGGATATAGAGTCTAAAATGCAGACCAAGTAATAATTTTTCATTGCTTTTTTTGTAACATCTGCATTAATTGGAAAAGCTAGATATTTTGATTTTTGCCAAAACGATGTAAGTAGCTAAACTAAGAAATCTGGTGTCTTATGGTTTTAAAAATTGATAAAATGTCAATAGCTAAAACAATAAACAATTGAAATAAATCTTAAAAGATTGATTTACACATGCCCGTTCCTGGGGTGTCTGGCGCCTACGTGCAGCATTCGTTGGTGCGCCCCTTTTATAAAGTAAAGTTAAGCTTTATTTATTTCCTATAGATGTAAATTGCAAAATGCAACTATTTTAGGGACATTATTTTATCATTAGGCAATATTTGCAATGCTTATGACCAGGCCCTGGGGTGTCTGGCGCCTACGTGCAGCATTCGTTGGTGCGCCCCTTTTATAAAGTAAAGTTAAGCTTTATTTATTTCCTATAGATGTAAATTGCAAAATGCAACTATTTTAGGGACATTATTTTATCATTAGGCAATATTTGCAATGCTTATGACCAGGCCCTGGGGTGTCTGGCGCCTACGTGCAGCATTCGTTGGTATATAATAAATTAAATATTTTAATTTTAAGCCCTTAAATTTAAAAAATTAATATTTTGCGACAAAGTGGCAATATGTAAATGAAAATGTTAAAAAACCGCTTTAATTAAGTATAAAAAATATTTATTGAATTACCAAACACACAAAATCACAAAAAATATTCAGTGATAAAAACTCCAAAGAAAACAAAAAAAATCCAAATAATATAATAACTGCAACTGGTTTTTAGTGACGTTCTACTTTTATAACTTTTGATATTTTCGGATTCAGCGGACAATTTTACATAGGAGTTGACTGCTAAATGTCCGGGATACAAATTGCTATTGACGATGCTAGCGATTTTATTTAGTTGAATAAGTACTTTTTTTTACAAAAATCGAGATCGAAAATTTACATATCTTTCTGGAAAAGAAAGAAATCAAAAAGATAAGTCCAGTTTGATTTATTTTACGTATAGATAATACCAAAAGGAAAAAAATAAGCTGGTGTTTATAAAAATCCATGAATAAATGGCGTTAAAAGTTATGAATTTTTCATTGGAAGACCAAAATTCAGTTTTTTGAGAATTTTTATATAATATATATTAAACATTAAATATTGAAATTAAATTATATATTAAAAATTGAACATTAAATATATTGAAAGTTTTATTTTGTTGTAATAAGCATAGGTTTAAAAAAATCTGGCGATTTTCGCGTTTAGTGAGCCAAACTATAGTTTGGCTTGTGTATACACAAGGAAATCATAGTGAGACATGGTGGGCAAAATGGCTGTAAACTATTGTAATTATCGTCAGTAGCAATTTGTATCCCGGACATTTAGCAGTCAACTCCTATGTAAAATTGTCCGCTGAATCCGAAAATATCAAAAGTTATAAAAGTAGAACGTTTTTGAGATTTAGTAAATTTTCCATATAATATGGAATTGACTATACCTTAAAAACTGCTTTACTTTCATAATTTTTAACGGTATTTTCGGATTCAGGGGACAATTTTACATAAGAATAAGCTGTTAAATGTCCGGGATACAAATTGCTGTGGACTAAAGTTATTAGTGACTGTTTTTTTACTTCGAAAACTAGTCATTTTTGACTAATTCATCTTTAGAGAGTACCTACGTCACTAAAAACCAGTTGTAGTTATTATATTATTTGGATTTTTTTTGTTTTTTTTTGGAGTTTTTATCACTGAATATTTTTTGTAATTTTGTTTGTTTGGTAATTCAATAAATATTTTTTATACTTAATTAAAGCGGTTTTTTAACATTTTCAATTTCAATTTCATATTGCCACTTTGTCGCAAAATATATATTTTTTAAATTTAAGGGCTTAAAATTAAAATATTTAATTTATTATATTTAAATATAAAAGGGGCGCACCAACGAATGCTGCACGTAGGCGCTAGACACCCCAGGGCCTGGTCATAAGCATTGCAAATATTGCCTAATGATAAAATAATGTCCCTAAAATAGTTGCATTTCGCAATTTACATCTATAGGAAATAAATAAGCTTTACTGTGTAAATAAATACTTACGTTATTACATCGCCATCGTCTGTATCTATTGCCTTAACAGAACCAACTATTTCTCCCTTGGCAATTGACTCTTTAATTTTAAAATTGTATATTTCTTCTTCAAATTTTGGGTATTCGTCATTCCAATCTTTTAAAGTAATGCTTAAGCTGTATGTATCCTTCTTAATTGTATTTTGCCCAGTTGATAAAATCTATACATATACAAAATAAATTACTTTTTATAAAAAATACTTAAATACCCTTTCCGTTAAATGGCACATATTTAAATACTTGAAAATATTTGGAGAACGCTTAAGAGACAGTTACTTCACTGAACGCTCAACTAAAAGTTTTTACATCTAGTAGTGATTTTTTGTTTAAAATTATATGCTATCAAAGGATAACATTGTAGAATAACAAAAATGATATCTTTGAAATGAAATATTTTGAGAAAGTTTATGAACATTTCCTTTATAAAAGCCGAATTTTTCAATAAATTTGTTTCATACTTTTGTCGGCCACTGTATGTATGCAGGGCCGGCAGCTTTTCATTTTGACGTGTGGTGCTCATCTACAGTTGGTTGGTAGCAGTGGTTAATGGATAGGGTGTGTGGGGCAGCAGTCATATTTTGAATAATAATATAATTTGCTTCAAAATGAATTCATGCTTATTTCTCTACCTTCTTATTTCACTCTTATTCGACTCTAAATTAAAATATACAGGGTGTCAAAAAAAATACATTTACAACATTTGATGATAGATCCCTGACGTCAAAATAGGTCGATTTAAGATTGAGTATGAGTAGGTATAGCTGACCACATCAGCCTCATCATACACTGACTTTGACAGATTTTCCCCCCCCTTTCTTCTCTTCTCCTGTGTTTCCCGCAACTGCACGGCTTTGGTTGCATGGAAATGTCAAATGTCAAGAGTCACAAATGTTTAAGAAGTGCTTAATAAGCACCGTTGTCAGTTCGGTGGTTTAACCGTCTCTGTATTCGTGTATTTTTTATAATCTGTGTATTTGTTTTATGGTTTTTCGCTGAAACACAAAGGTTAATCAAATCGTGTGGTGGTATGTTTTTATTAACGTGACAGGTTGTCCCGAAATTAGGGGTCTAAAGTTAATCAAACCTTGTGTTGTAAAGTCGACTTAAAAAATATGTCTTGAATACGTTTTAAAGACCTTAACTTGTGTAACATACGCAGTCGTTAAGACGTCTTTAGAATGCCTATAAGACGAAAACCCCTTTAAGACTTCTTAAATGAGGAGTTACAACATATTTAAGATTTGTGTGTGCCGTCTGGGCCTCGACCAGGGATTTATTAAAACCCACATTCAATTGGGGTTCATGGTTAGTTGGGGCCTAACCATGCTAGTATTGTAGTACTACTTGTTCGTCTGGGTCCGAGTCGAATTCCGGAAGTTGATACAATGAATCAGTCGTTATCTGCATTAAGTTTTTTTATTGGGTAGAACATAATATGTTCTAATATTATTATGTTCCCATTGGTAGCGGTCAATTTGTGAGAAGCGGATTGTTTGCGCGAGATTGTCCTGGAACATGTAGCATGGACCTTGTGTTCCGATTTTTTCAGTTGTAATGAATAAGGATTGTTCCTTATCAATAAGAAATTTCTCATAAAGACGCGTTGCGCATGACTACCCTTGTGATTTTCCTTAGCCGTTAAGTCCTATGCGATTTTTAATTTTAAAAAAATCATTGGTTAACCCGTCGGTTTGGCGTGAGCTCAATATTTTAGTTGTGCCACTCTGACGCGTTTGGTGGTTGTTTTGCCTTCAAGCAGGATGTTGGTCGGTTGTTTCTAAAGGTCGTTTAGGTCTGTCGTAAGCATACTGAGTATTTTTTCGACTGTTTCTGTTCATGCTGTATTTTAGTATAAGTGATACAGCTGCTGTTACAGTGCTGTACTAATAATGCCACAAGGGCATTACCATTGAAAGGTATTTTTTGACTGCAGTATATTCTGCCGTGTGAACTGTTTTCATTGCGTATTGTTAATTTATTGTCAGTTTAGGTAATATTATTTATGTCATAATAGTTGTCCAATGTTTTTTTTGTACGAAATTTATTCGTTCTTAGAGGTGAGTGGCCTCTTTGGTCAAAATTGCTTAATTTATTGCCTGTTGTAGAAGACAAGTATTTATTTTATCTGGAAGGTGTCCCCTGGTCCCTAGTCCCACTATTACTTGGCCTCGTTGTACTTCAGGTGTGCTTTTCACCGGCAAGTGGTACCAGCCAGGTATGGAAGCCCTTTTTACTTATTCATGTCCTTAATAATTTTGCACTATAGCCTATAGTCTATAGGTTACTGCACTTTAGATTAAACTGTAATCTCTAAAAATGAATTTGTCAAATATGACTAATTTAATAGTTATTAGTGGCTGCTTTTTCACTTGTACCATGCTTAACCATGGAATACCATGGTATCCCAAAGTTTAACAGCCAATTCTTATGTAAAATTGTCCACTGAACCGAAAATACCGTCAAAAATTATGAAAGTGGAGCAGTTTTTGAGATATAGTAAATTCCATATTAAATGGAAAATTGACCATATCTCAAAAACTGTTATACTTTTTTAACTTTTGACCACATTTTCGGATTCAGGGACAATTTTACATAAGAATTGGCTGTTAAATTTTGGGATACCATGGTATTCCATGGTTAACCATGGTACAAGTGAAAAAACAGCCACTAATAACTATTAAATTAGTCATTTTTGACAAATTCATTTTTAGAGAGTACAGTTTTATCTAAAGTGCAGTAACCTATAGTGCAAAATTATTAAGGACACGGATAAGTAATCATATATAATTATAATTAATTTTTAGAGAGTATGTCTTTTGTTATTTTTTTATTGATATAGAAGCGCTCTGGTTAACGTCTGGTTTAAACGAGAGTTCGGGCGAGACTAAGCAAAGGGCATCAAAAATTAAAAAAAATTCTGAATTTATTGAAAACGTGCTAATTTATTTTAGTGACCGGCTATAAATAAGCAGAAGTGATATAAATGTGACAATGATTGGTAAAAAATGTACGTATTTAGAAGTTTCAAAAAAATAGTTTTTAATTACATGCATTAACTGTAATAATATCTAGTACCCCAGTAAGCACCAAACACTCGTCAAACAGTCGGCCTTCGCTCGGCATAGGCGGTTGACCGGCGGTTCGGCTTGCCCCAGCCGGATCGCTTACGGCTGGAATACGGCCTGCCTCGGCAAAAGCGATACATCTCACGGCTGCTTACGCACGCGAGCTAACTATAAATAGCGATTGGTTGCAATATTTAGTTGGAAGTGTGCGTCCGTAATGGCATAGCTGAACATTAATTGTTTGTCCCTATCTCCATCCTCATCTGCTCAGTAACGAATAATGTCTAGCTAGTCGAGTGTGTTAAAAAAGCCATTCAGAGAATTTCAGGACTGAACTGACAGAGTAAGAAGATGCGCGTGCCCACCCTGCGCGTAGATTACGTGCCGGCACTGGCTATCACTTTCAAAGAAGTTATGTAAAATAAGATCAACATTATTAATTTTTGGGTTCAATTTACTGTTACATATACTGCCGTACTAAGCGCAGAAGCGGTAATTAACATTAATGGCTGTCATGAGATATTGGTACTTTTATGTTAATAGCTCTGCCAACTCAGTTTGGTAACAGATACCGCTAAAAATAACTTGATATTTCAATCATTTACTGATAAAATACCGATTTAATACCTTATTAAAGTAGAGATTTTTAACCCTAGTCTCATATTACGGGAAAATGTCAATTTCCTTTAAATGTACAGTTACCGCTTCTGCGCTTAGTACGGCAGTATAGATAACTTTAGTTTATACACATAGCTATCTTAATATTATTTATATAAAATTTAAAAAAAGATATTTCATTTTTTTTTATATTTAACGCCCTTTACCGGCAAAAAAACATTTTTGAATATAACTAACTTCGTTTAAATCGACCTATCATCAAACGTTGTACATGTACGTATTTTCCAGACCAACAGACAGCCTGTTTTGGCCTTTTTGACCTCATCAGTGCCGGGTAGCCATGTGGTGCGGAAGCACACTCAAAACACACTGCCCTCAGCCGTTATAAAGCAGCCGGATACGGCGATGGCGGTGGGTCCAGAGGACGTGGCACAAACTATGTGTTGCAGATTTTTGCATCACGTCGTAGCAGAAGTAAAAAATCATACTCCACTTACGGCCCAAAAGACTTGTTAGGCCATAAATCGTGACTTTGCGGGAAATCCATTCCTGGATTACTGCCGCTGTGCCCAATGACGAGATTAAAGGCCAGTTCCAGCCTTAAAATCATACTTTTTAAGTGAAGACATAACCCAGTAAGCACCAAACACTAGGCAAACAGTCGGCCTTCGCTCGGCATAGGAGGTTGACCGACGGTTCGGCTTGCCCCCAGTCGTCCCGCTTATGACCTGCGTTATGTTAGCCCGGTACCGTTTGGCCATGTTCTAACCAGTCGGCCAGAATAAGGCATGCCGCTGCAAAATCGTTCGGCTTGCCTTAGCCGGCCCGCTTACGGTCGAAATACGGCCTGCCGCGGCATAAGCAATACATCTCACGGTTGCTTACGCAAGCGAGCTAACTATAAATAGCGATGGGTTGCAATATTTAGTTGGAAGTGTGGTTGGAATGGTATAGCTGAACATTAATTGTTTGAAGTCCCCATCTCCATCCTCATCTGCTCAGTAACAAATAATGGCTAGCTATAGTCGAGTCCCTGGCGAAAATAAAGCGTGCACGAAAAGTGTGCAATAAGTGTGTATTTAGAGTGCAAGTCTTTATAACAATGCGCATAGACGCTATTTTGTGGTAATGTCACACTTTTTGAAATAATTTAGTTTTTTCACTCGTTATGCACATTGACATCACGCTTTTTATTTGTCACTTGTCACGCTTATATAAAATTATTTTTTTGCACATTGTTTGCACAGTTTTAGTACATTGTTTAAAGACAATTTTACAAAGCTTCAGTCTATCTTACGCATGTCACATTTTATACACACTGTTGATGTGCTATTAAAAGGTGTAATATAAGCGTGATAATTGGTAAATTTTTGGTTTTGCACATTGTTTCATGTTCCATTTCCCACCCTCTGCACATTGTTCTCAAATAATTTTGCACATTTCATTTTCGCCAGGGGTGTGTTAAACCTATAGCTCTCTAAAAATGAAATAGTCAAAATTCTACTATTTGAATTAGTAAAAGCATTTTTTACTAATAAAATAGTCGTTTTCACTTTTAAATAGTTATTTTTTACTATGTAAATAGTTAAAGTTTGACTAATTTAAGATTAGTCACCATATTTGACTATTTCTGACAGTTAAAAGTAACTAATTTCTTTAGTCGTTTACGGCCAACAACAAAGTATTATTTGAATTAAATGCATATACCTCTCCATGGTTAAATGACCCATAAAACAAATAAAGATGCAAAAAGTTTAGCTCAAAATAGCAAGACAAATAATATATTAAACTTTAAAATATTATGAACCATATTTATTGACAAATAAAATTAATTTTATAAGAGTGGCTGACAGCCGAATGCGTTAAGACGTTAGCTTGACAAACTTGTCAAGTGACAGACCTGAGTTCAATCCCAGGCTGAGTCAAAACTTTTTTTAAATTTAAATTTACTAATTTGACTATTTCATTCAGTGGAATTTGACTAATTATTAGTGACTGCTTTTTCACTATGACAATTAGTCAAATATGACTTATAATTAGTTATTTTTGACTAATTCATTTTAAGAGAGAGGATATACCTATCCAGGACGTCTGAAGGCTTTTTTGAATTGCCAGGCTGTAATTGCCAGGATGTTGTGGCCAGCACTCGGCGAACTATACACAGCCGACACTCGGCCGAGTAAACATAGCCGACATTCGGCCAGGCGGACATGCCCGGTCTACACGCCGGAACAAATACATGTGTCGGGCCGCACGCGGCCGATTCGGCAAACGTAATCGGGCCGTATGCGGGCCGGCTAGCTTGCTTACTGGGTTCTCACAATTTTCGACACTACACGTTAAATATTGTTAAACCTAATTGTTTAACAAGTAATATAATCTTATAATTTAAATATTGGTTTTAAAGGTTTGCGATTTATATCTACTACGTTCACTCTTTTTAGATTGCCGAGAACATTCCTAAAATTTGAACTTTGATAAAGTTATTAATAATTTTGACCCAATAGAAATTTTAAAATATATTAAATATATTTGTTCCGTATTTTCTTTTATGTTAAATTGATGATTTTTAAATAAAGTATAGGCTCCTAGGCGTGAACCACTGGCGTAACTACGTCAAATAAACTTGTGTTCGGGAAAGCGTTGGGCCCCCTCTTTTTTAGAAAAAGACATTATTCAGTGTAGAAAAAAATGTATCATCACACATATGTTTGATTATTTAAAACAAAAAATTAAGCTTTTGCTATCGCAAATCCTGTCACTAAATTTTGTACATTTATCTTTTTTGCTTCGTCCACAAATTTTGGGGGACCCTTCGGGGCCCCTAAAGCCTGGGGGCCTGTGTTCCTGGAATACATGGAACACCGGTAGTTACGCCACTGGCGTGAAATATATTCTGCCCTACTATGGAGAAAGGCAGTAACTGCTAAACAAGAAATATGTGGAAAATTAGCATAAACTACATTTTTATAAAAAGCAGTAGGTATTTACTTGATTTTTTGAACTTATGAGATATTTGACTGCATTTCTGTGTTGAATTCGGTTACAAAATGTCCATAGCTTTAACATAGCACAAGAAAACGCATTTTGCATTTTTTTGCAGTTACTGCCTTTCTCCATAGTAGGGCAGTATTGTAGTTTAGAGCTGTTTTAAAAAGATTTACGAATAAAGCAATTGGCGCTAATAAAATTAGTTAATGGTAAATTTACCTCAAAGTTAATGTTTTTCCATTCTGGGTTTTCATAATCTAATTTACTGGAATTCGTTACCAATATTTGAAACTCTGCTGTTTTGTATCCTGCATTTGGTATTACTTGGAATGCTGTAGCATATTTACCTTCTAATTTCAAATCAAATAAAGCATTATCACCCTATAAATTACATAAATTAATAAGCTCTAAAAATACAGTTTCCTGCATTTCACCACCCGTTTTCTGTGACTCACACATAAATAAGTTAGGATTTTGGGTTTTTGCAGACTTTCTATCCTAGGATAAACTGTGTGATATCATGATTTCATATGTTTTATAACTATATGCCATTTTTTTTCTTTAATGAATAAATTTATATCCCTAAAGTTAGAATAGAATTATATGTATTTAAGGTAAACAAGAATTTCTTATAAAGTTAAGGTAAGTCGGCAACTTTTTTAAATTTTCGGTAACTTTGTTGCCAACATTTGTCGGCGACATGGTCGCCGACAAATGTTGCTTTGGTGGAGACCCAGCTTAAGGCAAACTCAATGCAAATGACGAGAGCTGGCATCTGCGCATCGATGGGCCACGTCTCTAGCTAGATTTGCTAAGCTGTACGAAACTGGTTAAATTACAAACAAGTTGCATTAGTCGATGACCATTTTAAATATGTAAAGAAATGTAGGATACCTTTAACCAGTGCCGGTTTAACAGGGGTTTTTTGGGGACTATAGCACCGGGCGGTAAATATTTTTGGGGCGGTACCGCGTACCGCCCATAATTTAAAAAAAAATACTTAATCGTTAGAATTTAGACACTGCGTCGGCGGATACAACGGATACAAATGAGAAAAATGTTGTTAGAGTTAAAGCAGCTTTTCCATCAGAAAAACTTGATTTATTGGAAACGGAATAATTTGAACTTTTTGGATAGACGTTTTGCAAAGGGTTAATGAAACCAATAAAGCAGTCCAAAAACAAAATATGGATTTAAGCACAAATGCTCATCTTTTGTCATTTTTAGTTGAGAACTTTGATTTTTTACGTGATATCATTTTGATCATTACGAGGAAATTAACAGGAAACGAAAATTATGCTCAGAAGCGGATAATCATAAGAAAATTACAATTTGAAGAAAATAATTCAGAGGCAAGTTTAAGCAAAAAAGAAACAATGCGAACAATATGTTTTATTTTAATAATTGACAATCTATAATCCGAAATCATTTGTCGATATGATAGCTAGAAATCTGGCACAAACAAATTTGAATTTTTGTTTAATCTAAAAGCATAAGTCTTCGTGGAGGATTTGGATGAGTTTTTTCCTCAAAAATGTGTCCAACTCAAGAAACTGATAACTTCCCTTTCGGAAATAAAAATAGAAACTCCATTGGAATTAGTATAAGTTTTATACGAAAATAAATTAATATCTTCATTTCCGAATATTAATAATTGTCTGCGAATTTTTTTTATAATGGTTTCAAATGCAAGTGGTGAACGATCTTTTTCTGCTCTAAAAAGGGTAAAGAACTACCTAAGAAATACAATTCCCCAAGAAAGATTTAACTCCTTAGCAATTCTGTCCATTTATCAAGACCTGCTAGATGAAATAAATGTAAAGTGTTATAAAACAATTTGCTACTATAAAGACTTGAAAACAACCTTTTAATTATTAGTATTAGGATTTCTCAATATTTATTTAAACCAAAGAATAATGTTTTATTTATTTATAACTTTTGATTAGTTTTTCTTAGTACTTAGTATGGTTTATATAAACCAAAGAATGTTTTATTTTTTAGTTAGTGCTTTTGATTAGTTTTTATAATTTGTTTATTATATTTTATAGGATACTAAGTTTACTGTTAGATACCAGCCTAACCAACCTAATCTTCCACTTGACGTGAGAAAGTAAAACTTAAAAATTTAAAAATGTTTTTAAAAAAGTAATATTTTAAAGCATTGGGCGTTGTGTTTTTGCCAGAACCGGGCGGCGAGCTAACTTAAACCGGCACTGCCTTTAACCGATTCTGAAATATCCTGAAAAAAAATTAAATTTAAAAAATCCTCTATAACTTTTTTTACTATTGCAGCTATCAATTTTAAACTTGATATTTTTATTAGGTTGGCCATGATATCTTAAAAGTTATTGGGCGTAGGAAAAACATAAAGATGAAATCAGACGTGTCTTTCAAAACAATGTCAAAATTGAAAGTTTTAAATTTATGTCTACAATAGTAAAAAAATTATAGAGGATTTTTTAAATTGGATTTTTTTATTTTTTTCAGGATATTTAACGTTTGGTTGAAGTTATCCTAGATTTCTTAACATATTTGTAATGTTCCTAAAATAGCGCATTTTTTGTAATTTAAACATCGTATCTCGTATGGTTTGCCAATGCCAATTGTGGGAAATGAAATTCGCACTAATCTGTATAATAATAATTAAAGTAAATTAACTTAATAATGCGTAGTTCGTATTAATAATTCAGAGAAAACTTCGACCATCACCCATCGCTGGTGAAGGGCCTACTACTGAATTATAAAACCTGTCTCTCGGTTTTTAAGAGTGGAAGACGCCTAAACTGAGTTTCCAAAACCTAGTTTCGGCTGTTTTTAGACTGTAAACAAATAATTTGGATTCAAAATGTTCGGTGATACCCAAGTGAAAAAAGCCAACTTCGTAAATAAAAAAAGCATCCTAATATACAAAGAAACATTGTACGAAACTTTCGCCTGTAATATTATAAAATGTAAAACTTTCCCGTTACAAAGAGATAAAAATCTTTTTTAACATTGCTATTTAAATGAATTTTGCTATTATTTAAAGCAACATTGCAAACATTTTTCATTTAAAAGTTGTGTTAATATTTTAAATTAGGTAAACGTTGGGAGGAACCTATTCTTGTTTAAATATTTAATTTAACATTTTATTCTGAATGTAAATAATGTAAAATGGCAAAAACTTAATCTCCAGTTAAAGTTTTAAATTAAATAATTATGGAAATTATTATGTCTAGCATTTCAATTGTAACATATTATTTGTGAACTTTCAGTCTGCAAAATATCAAAATTTAACTATGCTACATGTAGCTTCTGCAGAACACGGGAGGTTAGATAAAAGAAATTATATCTACATAATATAAATAACTTACCGTATCTTTATCTACAACAGTCATGCTAAGTGGCAAAGCTCCTTCATGTTTTTCGCAAATTTCTAATTGAAGAGATTTTGGGGAGTCCATTAAAAATACCTTATTAGTTGTTCCACATTTTAGTTCATCATTATTTGTTTTTTTCCATTGTTATACTAGGAAAATGATCGTCAACATCATTAATAAAAAAAGTTACATTACTTGTGATAAAGCTCAATTCATTTTTAACATCAATTGCTTTCAACTTAAATTTATAATCTGTTATATCATCTAAATCTCTGTCTATTTTATCTACCATAACTGTGTTTTGGTTGTACGTATCATATTTCAATGTTACCATGCCTTTAAAACAATTATAGATACGTTTAAATAGGTAATAATTCATATTTTGGTATTTGAATACATACTTTTTTTATGCTCATCTATAATTTCAAATTTTATATCGTTATTAATGCCAAAATCTCCATCCCGAGCGCTAATAGAAAATTCCTAAAATAATAATTTAATAGACAAGTTTTCTGTAAAAAAAATTAAATTTCTGACAATATTATTTCCTAACATTAGGGTACCTCCACACGGTGACGGTGGGCAACGAAGAAATTCCGTTATGCGGGAGTCCCTGAATGATCGGCTTTCATGCCATAATGGCAGACACATGTGTAAAACCTTTTACGAGACAGGGATTTGGAAACCCAGAAGTCAGAGTAAGAAATTTTTGGTTTGGAGATGGATCTGCGTAGCAACTGGGTTCTGCATATCATTTGTAACTGTTGCAGAAAGATGTTGGAAAAAGGAGAGAAAAATCAACTAAAAACAAAATTGTTCAATGTCACCGTCGCATCAGTAATGGCTTCAATTTCAGCTGAACAGAACAGGTGCGACGCAATGGAAATTGAGAAAGTATCCACTAAAGTATATAAATCTGAAACCGATGATAACAGTGCGAAACAGAATAGGCTCCTTGCACCAAAAAATCAACAGTTTCATCCCTAGTCTCATCTCTCATTTTTAAAGGAAAAGTTTTTTTTGAACCATGCACAACTTTTTATAGAAATTGAGAAGGATTTATCACTGGTATTTTCCATTGATATCAAAGGACTTATAAATAAATTGAAAAAAAAAATGCTATAAAGCAGCAGATTGGAGACTGTATTTTGTTGCTTTTTAACTTTTATTGTTATTGCAAATTCATTTAGGTCATTCGATTAATTGACGCGTTTCTCGGAAAAACATCATTAGTCCAAAATTAACATATTTGGGAAAATGAAAAAAACTCTCCGACATTCCCATTTTTGACCAAAGTACTTTATTGACCTATTTACTACATGTAAAAAAATGTAAGATAATTCGTCCAGAATTCCTCATGTTTGTTTTTTCAAACGAATATGAAAAAAACACAAAAAATACATGAACATGTGAGGTTTTTAGAAGAAAAAAATGAACAATTCTCCTTACTACAAACACTACAAACAAAATATTAACTCTGAGTAACAAAATAAAATGAAACAACTAAAAACTGTATTACTGCCACACTCAGTCTTCGCATCCACTGCTGTTATCATCGTTGTCGACCGTGTTATCAGGACTGTCAGGTGCTTTGGTCTTCTGGTCTTTTATCAAGTTATCATAAAATTTTCTATTGCTGTGGGCATTTAAAAGAGGTAGAAGCTTTTCTATTATGAACATGTGACTTTCTTAGACGAAAGAGTGGACTTGTGATGTTTTTAGAAGAACAAGCTAAATTTCATATTTAATTATTATGGAACCTATGACATTTTTACGAGAAACACTTATTTGTATACGTATATATGGAGGTTAGGAAACAGTTGGTGCAAATATCTAAATTTCGACGATATTGGACTAATGATGTTTTTCCGAGAAACGCCTCAATTTAATGTACCTATCCGGTTTCTTTAGCTGTGTCCTGGTCCCTAGTGCATGATCTTGCAATGATATCTCAGCAATCGTGCGCAAGCGAAGTTGCAGGAACATTTTATTTGAAACATTACATCAACATCGCTTTTAAAATCTGTCTAAGATTAGCTGTACAGAAATATTGATTTGACAATGTTGCATCAATATTGTTTAAGTATGGCTTTACAGCAGGAAGTAATGCTTTAACAACAATTTTGCAATATTTCGAAAGAGATATGGCAGTAATTGTGCACCTTGAAAGTTGCGGGAATATTTTATTTTAAATATTACATAAATATTATTTTTTCCATACCTATCTATCATAACCTAGCAGCAACATTGCTTTGAGAATATGATCTCAATGTTTGAATTGTAGCATTGGTACAACATAATTTTTAGAAATGTTTCTATGCAATATTACATTTAAGCATAAACTTGACTTATAAAATAACAAATGGATAAAATGAAGAAAGTAGTTTTCCAATCCTAATAAGATAAATGAAAATATACCAAAAAAATGTCAGATCTCCTTATTTAACCAAATGTAGTCTAAAAAATAATGGCATATTTTCAGAGAAAATAGTGGTCACACTGGAGGGCCCTTTAAATGAGGAGCATCCGCTGAGAAACAAACTTTTTTTCGCAAACTTTAATTTAAATTCTGCTTTCGCAGATCTTGTCTATTTAATGTCATTATAAACTCATATAATTTTGGTGTGGGTCCCATGCCTAATAACTGAGATATGGGTATAACCAAAATTCACCAGCCGCCACTGGCCGATACTACTACTAAAATTTGTTCTGTTTTTTCATGTTTTCACTAAATTTATTTTGTTCATATTTTTGAATAATAAAGGTTTTTTTCACATTTTATTCGTTTTTTATTCGGTTTTTAAGCAAAACCGGATATATACAAAACATTTTTTTGAAATTTTGGCCTTAATATAAAGTTTTTGAAAACGAAAGTATGTCTTATAAATCAAGTACCACAAAGCCCACAAAACTCAAGTTTGCTTTTTCTTTTATCTGTAAAGGCCAGGAAACCGAGAGGTTTTGCCATTTTCCCAACATTATTTATTAAAGTGGGTATAGCCGGTTTTGCACAGATGCTCCTCAAATATTGTTAGTGAATTTACCTGTTCCGTTTTTTCGTTAAACTGTTTAGTTGTTAAACCTTCTTCCCATATTGGATCCTGATCATCCATGTCTTTAACGTTTATTATTACTTTTCCCTCTCCTTTATTACCTCCTGTATCCTACAAAATTATTAATAAATAAAAAATATTGACAAATGAACTTATTTATGTATGTTTTACCTTTAACTCTACATTAAAAATATAAATCATTTTTTTTTCATAGTCCAATTTCGTTAAAGTAGTTATATAAACCGAAACATTACGAGCTTTTCCACCTTGAACGCTAAATTTAAAGATGTCGTTAAAATCCTTAAAATATAACATGTTTAAAACAAATTTCTATTTAAATTTAAACAGAAAGAAAATTTATTATAAAAAACTTACAAAATCAAATTCAGTTTTATCGATCCATTCTTTGTCATCATCGTATAAGGTGCAGCTACATGTACTGTCAGTATATATCATATTTTCCTTAAAACAAAAAAATATGAATTCAAAATTAATTAGTTTTGTATGCTTTAGACTTTTTAGTTAATGCAGAAAATTATATAATTTGTATGTTAAATTGAGAAAATTAAGAAAGTACGCAGTGCAACTGTTAAAAAGAGTATAGATAGACGTGCAATCGAACGCTTTGTGTATGGAATCATTATAAAAGCAAACAGAAACATCAAATCGCACACAAAGTAGTTCATTGTATTAAGCAATCTTTCAACAAGTGATATACTGTACGGAATTAGTGGTACGTGACACTACCTTTGCAGGTGGATTCACCAGTCTCTCGAAGTCTTTATGGAAACATTAAATCTCTCATATACAGTAGTGCAGTGTAATAAGCAATCTTTCAAAAAATTTAACATTTCACGAAAACAGTTGCACTACCTGTGCAGGCGAATGCAATGTAACTGTCTCCCGAAGGAGCCAAAACACGTAGTATTTAGAAATCGGTACAAAACATTCTCAATCTAGCAGTAAAGCTGTTCAGTAAAATAGGTCAATTACCGAACGAAAATGCGGCGAGGCAGCCGCCAACATGGAGGGATAAACTCCCCTACGTGTACTCGGACAACGAAGGACAAGACGTAGACTACGACTAGGAAATATACTATCTTTAAGAAAGGCCCCACAGGGAACTAACACTGACCCAACTGCAAACAGTAATCCAATAATTTGGATCGGCGTAATTGTCCCCTAAACGCCAAAAGGGGTATCCTTCAATCCGACTTCCTTTAAAATCCTACTGGGCGTATAGCAACGTCCCGGCGTACCCATGAAAGCCTACTAAAATTATTGGCATGTCTCGCGAGACCCAAATAGGGTACAGTGAACGCGGTGAACATTCGCACCCAGCAAACACGGGTGAAGCCGTGCAGTTGCTGGTGGCAGTAAAAAACAGCGGGTAACTGATGCTCTCGGGGGCTCGGGAGGGATGAGGCAACGTGGCCAGCCTATACTCAAAATGAAAAAATTAAGGAAAAAAAAACACTTAAGTGCAAAGAAAGTAGAAGATCTTAAAGAAGTACGAGTATGTATTGGAAATCTACATTTTGTGGAAAAAATAGTCAGTTTGGTATGCTCTGTTTTTTAGCATTACCTTTTCTTGATATTTAGATTTATTTTAATACTGTACTACAGCACCAATTAAACATGACTTAATTTAATATGACAACTACTAGGCCTACTATCCCGCCCATGGGACCATAATGTTCAATATTCTGCACCAAGCATAAACAAGTGAGTGTCGATAGTTTTCAAGGGGAAAACATCATTAAAGTGTAGGAAGTTCTACGAAATAATGGTTGTATGTCTACAAGACGTATTAATGACACCTATGGCATACCCCAAAAAACTTCTTTCCATTTTAAACGCATATGTGATCTGAACGCGCTTGGTACTCAAACGGGTGATCAAAATCAAAATCCGGAATTGAGCACGGTAAAGACATATTTTTGGCCAAAAAGGGGTCGTCACCTTTCGTATTTACTAGATTTATCTCCCTGTCACTTTTGACTATTCCCAAAATAAAAATTAAATTAACTTGAAGGGATGTATTTTTAATATACTAGTATAAGATCTTAGTATAACTAACAACTTAATTTTTTTGGTTTTCAGTTCTCGCGTATTTTTCACAGACGTTGTTTGCTCATTCCATTCAGATCGCAGTTCCAATAAAACTGTGAAGTTCAGTATGCGAAACACACCAAATTTAACACTACCACCTCCAATAGATGTGTTTTTATTTATCCAAAACTGTGTATTAAAAATAGAGTCCTTGGTGAAACATAACTCTATATAAAATTCTGCTTATTTGTGATGTGGAATGAGAAAACCATCCTAACAAAATAATTGCTTATGAAAGGCTCGAATCTATGCATCAATCTAGCAAATCAATGGGACTTGCTATAAAGTCGAGCCATATGCAACCGTCCTGCAGGATTATGATTAGAGTCGTGTTCTGTTTAATGTATGCTTTTTTTAGAAAACAGACCGTCTTAAACTAAATCGGCTAATCAGGGCTTAACTTGACAATAAATTTGTGACGAAAGTTGGTTCTTTAAAAATTGGACCACCAAAAAAAGAATCTACGTAGTTAAGGAATTTAAGCAAGACAGAGATTTAAATAACGTCAAGTTTTCTTAGAAAGAACGTGGGAATTCACCATACATTATGTTATTTAATTTTTTATGTAGATCTAGATACCCACTTTCTTTATCAGGACGGCAGTAATATGTAGCATTAAAATAGGAACCCGATAAAAAATGTGGGTACCTAAGTACAAACATTACTCTTAAAAAGGATTGTAGACTTCAAAGATTCTTATTTCAAGAAATCTATATAGATATTTGCGTAAATACATTGTTTTAAAACATGATTACGGTCTCAACTCACCATGAAATTCTGTAAAACGTGTAGATATGGTAGAATATTTGCAGATACCCCTTTTAATATAAGGATTTAGTCAAATTAAATTTTATGAAAATTTTCACAGTTAAACGCGTCTTTTTGAGACAAATTCAACGATATAAGAAAATTTGCAGTAAAGTGTGGAAAAAATATTGTATCGTTTTTTATTCGATATAACATGAAAATTTTGATTATGTCGTAATAAAAATTCAGTAAAAATCATAACTCCTAATTTCAATTTTAAAAGGTCCATCATCGAGTTTAAAAATTTCCCATAATAATAACAGAAATATGTTATTTCATTCATTTTCTCCTGCGTTCTATAGCTATTTTTTTCATATAGATAATGATAAAATTCCATTGAGTCAAGATTACGCGTTTTTAAGATTTAGAAACTAAACTTTTAATAAAAAGTTAAACTGCAATTTTGTACTTTTAATTCCCTATAAAATTGTCGCATTAGTACATTATAGACCAGGCGGAGAAAGCACATATTATCGCCGAGTAAACATTTCCGAGGCAGTGTTTTATATACTATTTTTTTCAAGCATTTAATATAATAATTTCGTAAGGTTCAACTGGCATGATGACATTTGAGCTTTATTTCTGTACAGAGTTTAATAATAATTGACTTTTGAACTGGTATTAATATGAGGTCTTTCCATATATACTTATGAGTCATATAATATAAAAATTATTATACGCTTGAAACGTACTGTTAATAGTAAAAAAAAATTATAGTTAAAAGTAATACTTAACTCCTAGTTTTATTACTTTTTATTAAAAAATGTCCAGGGATTCCCAGGTGTGGGTGACCCCTCGATTCGGGCATCTAATTTTTCCTGTGAAAAAAATCGAAAAAACACAATGCTAAGTAATATTTTTTAACAAAATGCATTCGTGCAGGTGCAAAAAGAAGACGAGGACTCGTATTTTTTTTGCCACCAGCACTCATGCGTTTTGTTAAAATATTACTTAGCAACGTTTTTTTTTCGATTTTTTTTCGGAAATTTTAGATGCCCTTATTATATTCTTTACGATAATTATAATTAATATAATTATTAATAGAAAAGTTTAGTAGTTATTATAGGTCAATAGTTAAATAACAATTTCGTAATTCTTTTAATTTCCCACAAAATTGTCACAAATTTATTGAGTTAGGTATTAATGGTAAATAAGTTACTACTTACGTCTTTTTAATGACTTTTTGTTAAAATTACGCATTTTTTTATCTAAAAACTACACTAGATATTAATAAGTTAAAAAGTTTAATTGAAATTTTATAGTACTTTTCTACAAAATTGTCCCAGACAAATTTATTTGATGATTAAAAGTTAAAAACAGTTATACAGAATTTTTCAGATTTTGTTAACATGACTCCTGATAGAACTTTAAAAATTAATGCATAACTAGTATACTAAGCAAAGTATTATAGATAGAAAATTGATGGAATTTTTATTTTTATTTATAATTTATAATTTAATACTCCCTAAGGAGCATTAATCATTTATGAGTATGAGTATGAGCATAAGAACGTATGGCAGGCCCCATCGGCAACGCCTTACAATGATCTTTTAGGGTTATTTTACCCCCTTTCGGTTCTGTACGTATCCCGCCACTGCACAGCGTTACCTGTGTTTGGTGGATCCCAATTTTCACCCCAGCAGGTAATCTTCCCTAGGAGGTCGTGGATGACAGTGTCGATGGTGAAAGCCAAACCCAGAATTTTGTCGCCGGGCCGACCATACGCCCGATTTAGGCTAGTGGAGTTACCGAATGCAACAGGCATTTGGGTTTGGTTAACAGTTTTTTTTTTAAATAGTTTTTGTTTACTCACCTAAGCAATCTCTATAGTTATTAATTTAACTATTAAGTAGTAGGAACTATTTATTGAAAACGACTACCTATTCGTTGTTTTCTTATTGTGGTAGAAATTGTGTTTACGTTTTCTCTTTCATATTTAACAATTAAAAAATTGCATTTGTACTTATTTTTACTGCTTCAACTATTTTTTTTATACTCGAGAGGTCTCCCAGTTTGTTTATTAAGGCAAAGATTAGAAAATGGTTTGATTACTTACAGAAGATTTATGTGTTTATTAAGTACTGTCACGTCCTATACTGCCTGTGCATTCGGTATCTTTGGTCTATTTAATGTAGGGGTTCGTTAACCCTATTCAACTCTTTTATTCTTTCTTGTTGATTTCTACGGATTTGTCACTTGGGAAGGTATAAACACACCCATAGGCTTGGTGAATTCTTATTTATGCAAATAGCGAAGTGCAAATATTAAAAACTTATCTGAATATAGCTCCTTGTCCCCTTGTAAGTAGTTGGTTTTCTTCCTGGTTCATGCCGCGATGAACTACCTGTTCAGGTGGTTCCTTGACTTCGACAGGTGGGGTGGCAGTTCACTTAGCGCTTTTAAACTTTTAGCTTAGGTTTTAAATTCAGAGCGGAGAAACTATTCCGTCTCGACCGTAGCAGTGTTGATTTGGTACTGCCTAAGGTGCATTAATCATTTATATGGAAAAAACTACTTTTTCCTTTGTTGTTGCCATGGGAAATTGTAAAACTCGATGATGGACCCCTTAAAATTGAAATTAAGAGAATTTTTACTGAATTTTTATTTCGGCATAATCTAGAAAATTTTCCTTTTACATCGAAGAAAAAACGATATCGTCTTATTTGGCACAACCTGCTCTACATAAAAAAATGTAGATATCAGGACGGGAGTATGGTCGAGCAATGATTTTATGGACACAAATACGGAGTCTAAAGTTGTAGTAGTGCACGAAGCATTCACGACTTATAGTACGGAGAGCTTAATTTTTAAGAAGAAAAAATTTGCTAATTTTCTCATTCCACGTCACATTTTATATACTTATTACATTCATATCACACGGAGTGCATTCTATTCTGGGCGGTTCATCGTCTATATTTATAATTGTTAATACAAACTCTGTTTTTCCATCTGGGTAAGTTAAGGTGAAAGGTAATTTTGACTCTATTTTTTCAAAATCGTATGCCGAATTCGTAACAATTTGATAAGAGGGATTAGTTCCAGTAATATAAAAGTCTACATCGGCCTGTGTTAGTTTGATAATCTTAAATTTACTGCTATCTCCATCATCTAAAACCAATTTTTAAAGTTGCCACTAAATTTAATTTAAATTGGTTGTTTTTGCTTACAAGTAAAATCACACAAAATTGTAGTTTTGTCTTCTTCATTGTATTCATTCATTGTTAATAGTATGCCTTTATCGCTTTCCTTAAATCCCACATCTGTGTCTCCCTGTGAATATTTTGGTTTCTCAGCATTGGCTACAAAGTTAATTTTATAAAATAAAATTTATTTATTTCCTACATATTTTAAGTTTTTTTTATAAGCTTACTTACCATAGGAAACAATCAATAATAAGGAAAATACTATTTTATTTCGGTCAATCATTTCTAAAAATTATTCATTAATTATTATTGTAAATTATGTGCCCTTTATATATTTGATTTCAAATAAGAATAATTTAAACTTACTAAATAAATATTTTATACAAATATACGGTAATACCTAAAAGCACTAAATATATTTTCACACCACGTATTACTGTGTCGAAATAAAAAACAAATTGTTTATCATTGTTTGATAGGATTTTTATATCACTTATCTACAAACACTTTGCTAAATTAATTTAGTTTATCCGATATATTGTATTGATTACACATTTTTGATAATCTCACAAAAGGTACTTAAAAAAATTATTTGTGAGTTTTGCAATTATAGGTATTATATAAATTATATAATTTATATATGTTAGAAAGTATTAGGAAATTAAGAGAGACGCTTTGAAGCAAATTGTACGACTATTACAATTACTTTTCACATAACTTTTTCTTAAACAAATTTCTTATTTATTCTGGTTATTTAGGAAATTAAAAATAAAAAAATGTACGGTTAGTTTTTTTACTTTGATGGTTATTAAAAATATTATCGTATTACAACTCTTTGTCTCTTAAGATCAAAAACTTACTCTCTTAAAATGAATTAGTCAAAAATAACTAATTATAAGTCATATTTGACTAATTGTCATAGTGAAAAAGCAGTCACTAATAATTAGTCAAATTCCACTGAATGAAATAGTCAAATTAGTAAATTTAAATTTAAAAAAAGTTTTGACCCAGCCTGGGATTGAACTCAGGTCTGTCACTTGACAAGTTTGTCAAGCTAACCTCTTAACGCATTCGGCTGTCAGCCGCTCTTATAAAAATTAATTTTATTTGTCAATAAATATTGTTCATAATATTTTAAAGTTTAATATATTATTTGTGTTGCTATTTTGAGCTAAACTTTTGCATCTTTATTTGTTTTATGGGTCATTTAACCATGGAGAGGTATATGCATTTAATTCAAATAATACTTTGTTGTTGGCCGTAAACGACTAAAAAAATTAGTTACTTTTAACTGTTAGAAATAGTCAAATATGGTGACTAATCTTAAATTAGTCAAACTTTAACTATTTACAAAGTAAAAAATAACTATTTAAAAGTGAAAACGACTATTTTATTAGTAAAAAATGCTGGTACTAATTCAAATAGTAGAATTTTGACTATTTCATTTTTAGAGAGTACGAACATAACCAATTTTTTTTCACAGTTCATACCTTTTAACTGGTTATAACTGCCAAATAGTATTTAAGTAAGCTTAAAGACATAAATCTGGCACAGTCAATGGGGTTGGGACATGCATTTTATATTGCATATTTGGAATCGTTACATTCTATTGGTAAGTCTCTTTTTTGAATGTTTTACATTGCGTTATAAACTTAAAATCTCAAAAAAAGTTTTTTGACATACCGCCGGCTTACATTCCACATACGTATACAAAAAAAGCAAATTGTAATATATATCTGTGCTTGGTTCAAATTGATGATGCAATGTAAAACATTTAAAAAATACACTGTACCATTTAAGGTAGTTGTCGGGGTACAAAATTGTCCAAAATTTTTAGATTATACGCACCGTAAAAGTATACGAGCTTGTAGCTAAGTGATTCATAATTTATTCGCAAGACTGTACCCTGGAGACGATACCTTTACGTAATACTTTCAAATATTTTCATAAGTTTTAATCCGGCAACGTCGCTTATGCTCAACCAATAGATATATTGGAGACTGAATCAGTGTTTGAATTTACTGCGGAAATAATATCTATACCCGCGTACAGCGTTGCCAAGTTGTTTTTATCTGACACTAGTGATGTATACTTTTTACAAATTGTTGAACTTTAAACGGTTATTTATAAACAATTGGACGGTCAAAAATTTTTAATTATTTTTTTTTAAACTCAGCAAAAATACGTTAAAAGACTGTTAGTTTTTTGAAAGCTTCTGACAGTTAGTTTTTTTATAACTAAGAAACTGGTACAGAACTACAGAAAGCGTATACAATCCATGTTAATTGGGTGATTCTCCAGAACGGAGCAAATATGCTGAAACTCTTAAATAAAGTATACTAATGAAAGTAGTTAGCATTTAAATAACACTATAATAGACAGTTTATGTCTAGCAGTAGAACGTACTTAACCAAAAAAATAAAACATTATTTATTTTATTAATTTGAATTTGCTTAAACGCTTTGAAGTCAACTCCATGGACTGTCACCACCTAGCGTAGGGACAACAAATCATACATATACTATTAGACTAGATGCAATTGTGAAATGATTCTTTCATATTGCATTTCCTCTAACTTGGAATGTATAAAAAAAACACAAACAAAAGCAAACTTATTGATATTTTAACCCAAAATGTCGAATAAAGCAGGAGACACCATTTTACAGCTGAGTTCTTTGCAGTCTTTTAATATATGATAAATCCCCTGTATAAAACGTATTTTAGTAATGTTTGAAGACTTCGTCGTTTGAGTGATTTAGTGTTGATTTGTGTAAGCAAGGCAAAGGGGGTGTAATATTTAATAAAAATTTATAAAGAACAATTATTTGCGAAAAAACGGGTAAGTATTTTTATTAAAGATCAACTCCATGTCTTTAATAACAAAGGGATTTAAATACAATTGAAATTTAAACTTTCTCCAGGTGAAATAACCAAATATGCTTTGCTTAAATTACAGTTATGTACCATTTTCTAAAGTTTGTGACTTTAACTATAAAAACATCAACTCCATGGACATCAACTCCATGGAGTTAAAAGGTTGCCCTAAACTCTTAGCTCATATAAGTGAAGGCATTATTAAAGATAATTAATAATATATAGTTAAATTATAATAAATTTAATTTAATTTTTCTTTAAAAAAATGATCTAATAGTATTATTATTATAACTATATGTATATATTAAGTTTAATTTATAGCCGCCTTGAAATTACTTTATGTTATTAATAAATACACATTAAGGTATTATTTTGCTAGTGTTTTATTAATCTTTGCTTTTTATTTTTTTACCACCCCAATTTATCCCCGTTTTGGATATTCACCCAATTATCCAATTTTTAATTGAATTTATCTCGGGTTATAGACGGTCAATCGACTTCAAATTTTAAGGATAATTGTATTGTCATGTCCTTAATATGTATACAAAAATTTAAAATTTTCTGATGGTATACCATCAGAAAATTTTAAATTTTTGTATACATATTAAGGACATGACAATACAATTATCCTATATATGCTTAGGTACAGCACGAAACTACCTTAAGTATATTATAAAATCTTGAGGCACGCTACGAGGGAATTTATCGAGTTTCAAAGTAATTTTTAAGGAAAAATTTATAGCAAAAATCGTTTTTTTCAACGGTATGGTTGTTTTACTTCTTTTATTATAATAATCACCTGAGTATTGATTTGTTCTATGTCCAATATGTTATAATCGAGATAAACGGGTTTAAAACTTTTACATTAAATATCTTATTTGTTTTTAATGAAAACTTAATTAAACATTAATAACAATATTCTTGTTTAGCCTTTAATTAGTTCTATTGAGCATCTCTTATCTAAAATTTGGATTTATGCCTCAATATTGGAAAAAACGTTTTGGAGATAAAACAAAAAGTGGTATTTTTGGATTTTAGAAACAAAATGTTGGACATATATCAAAGTTTTAGGACATGAAACTTTATTTAATAATGATTTACTTTAATAATAATAATTATAATTACCCAGATAGCATCTGTGATTTTGTTTTCCCTCTGTGATTTCACACTGAAGTCAGTATAAGGTCAGATGTGAATTTCAGTCATTCAAAATCATGTATGATTTAATACTGAAGTCGGTATGAGATCACGCATGATTTTCAATATAAATTCTAAGTTCCAAATCATGCCTGATTTCATACTGGGGTGAGTATGAGATCAGGCATGATTTTCAGTTAAGGGTACCTATTCCATAAGTTCCAAGCTTACAAGCTAATTTTATTTAAGCTTATAAGCTATAGCTTATATATAGTTCTCGTTTAGATGTAATGTAATGTAATCTATAGGGTATAGTTGTTTATTTGTGCTTGTCCCATTGTGTATCGTCGAGGGGACTTTAGGCCAGCGGTCCGTTAATACCCCTTACCCGCACAAGCTATAGCTTGTGTGGGTAAGGGGTAGGAATGGACTTCCGGCTTAAAGTCCCCTACAAAGGACTATACACAATGGGACAAATATATATTGTCAAAATACATTGTCATATACATGTAAATAGGTAAAGTGGATATAGAACAAAACAATTTTATACTTATAAGAAAGCTTTCCTTGGAGATATCACAAAACAGTTATAAAATGGATATAGCACAAACAAATACTAATTATTTTCAGATTTTTACAAACACATAGAGCAAAAGAAAGCCTGTAAGCTAAATTTTGGAAATAGAGTAAACCAATTTTAAACCTTTTATACTACACTCGGATTTAGACTAACCTAAACTAAAAACTGACACAATTATATTAAAATACTATAATGGAGATGGAACAAACCAACTTCAACTTTCCGAAAATGCATAAACCTCAAAATGGTAAAAAAAGGAGATATCTCCTATATAGCACAAACCAATACTCAGGTGACGTATTAGTAACTAATCTTAATAAAAGAAGTAGTTTCACATTCATTTTTGACATCATCTCTCAAACCCAATGTGGATGTTTAGAATTTAGAAGATACAGGGTGTTCCAACAAAAACTTGTACCCCCCCAAACGTTTTATCGGATGAGTGTGGACAAAATTCCTTGGACACGTCAATTTTTATTTTTAGGGGGACGAATTGTGATGTATGTTTCACGCCCCCACCCGCACCCCTACACGCTCCACCCCGCCCGCCCCCTAAATTTTAAATTGTAAGGGAGGTTGAGTGATATATCATTTTAAAGGTCTTTTAATTCTTAATATTTGAAGTTTTAAATTTGATGAATAAAAAAAAACAACAAAATTGTAAATTAAAGAATTTAATGTTGAAAGTACATGCAAGCATGACATTTTTTTATGAGGTTGCCATGGTAACGCGCGCACGCGCCACACGGATTTATTTAAATGCAGTTATCAAGAATAATTAGTAAATGCCTATAATAATTGCTCTGTTCAATAAGTCGTTATCAGTTTAGCTTTCTGGACCTTTTTAGTTTAACATTGTGTACCTTACAACGTATTC